CCACCCATCCATCCACCCACCCATCCACCCACCCATCCATCCACCCATCCACCCACCCATCCACCCATCCATCCACCCATCCATCCACCCACCCTCCATCCACCCATCCATCCACCCATCCATCCACCCATCCACCCATCATCCATCCATCCATCCACCCACCCATCCACCCACCCATCCATCCACCCATCCACCCACCCATCCACCCATCCACCCATCCATCCACCCATCCATCCACCCACCCATCCATCCACCCATCCATCCACCCATCCACCCATCCATCCACCCATCATCCATCCATCCATCCACCCCACCCATCCACCCACCCATCCACCCACCCATCACCCATCCATCCACCCATCATCCATCCATCCATCCACCCACCCATCCACCCACCCATCACCACCCATCCACCCATCATCCATCCACCCCATCCATCCACCCATCCACCCATCCATCCACCCATCCACCCATCCATCCACCCATCATCCATCCATCCATCCATCCACCCACCCATCCACCCATCCATCCACCCATCCACCCATCCATCCACCCATCATCCATCCACCCATCCATCCACCCCATCCATCCACCCATCCATCCACCCATCCATCCACCATCCACCCATCATCCATCCACCCATCCACCCATCCATCCACCCATCCACCCACCCATCCATCCACCCATCCACCCACCCATCCATTCACCCATCCACCCATCCATCCACCCATCATCCATCCACCCATCCATCCACCCCATCCATCCACCCATCCACCCCATCCACCCACCCATCCATCCACCCCATCCACCCATCCACCCATCCACCCCATCCATCCACCCACCCCATCCACCCAGCCACCCATCCATCCGTCCACCCAATCCATCCATCCATCCATCCACCCCATCCATCCACCCATCCATCCACCCATCCACCCCATCCATTCACCCATCCATCCACCCATCCACCCCATCCATCCACCCATCCACCCACCCATCCATCCACCCATCTACCCCATCCATCCACCCACCCACCCCATCCATCCATCCATCCATCCATCCACCCATCCATCCATCCATCCATCCATCCATCCATCCACCCATCCACCCCATCCATCCATCCATCCACCCATCCATCCATCCATCCATCCACCCATCCACCCCATCCATCCATCCACCCATCCACCCCATCCATCCATCCACCCATCCACCCATCCATCCACCCACCCATCCACCCATCCACCCCATCCATCCACCCATCCATCCACCCATCCACCCATCCATCCACCCATCCATCCACCCATCCACCCCATCCATCCATCCACCCATCCACCCCATCCATCCATCCACCCCATCTATCCATCCACTCATCCATCCATCCATCCACTCCATCCATCCATCCACCCATCCACCCATCCATCCACCCATCCATCCATCCATCCACCCCATCCATCCATCCACCCCATCTATCCATCCACCCATCCATCCACCATCCATCATCCACCATCCACCCACCCATCCATCCACCATCCATCCAACAAAGTCTGCACCTACTGGCTGTGCCCGGGGCCACAATTATTAATATGAATCTGCTCTCAAAAAAGCGATATTCTAAGGAGGTCAGACAGAACACAAGTGACTCAATGCTGAAAGGCAGAGGGGCAGCCGATGGCGTGAGCGCTGAATCCCAGCTCTGCCTCCTTCTGACCAGGAGGAGCCTGTAACCTGGTCCTCGGTCCCTTCTCTGGGGAGCGGGGGTAATGGATGTGTCTGCTGCGGACACAGGCATCCCCATGTTCCTGGAGAAGAACTAAAGCAACGAACACTACAGACCAATATCTCTCATGAGCAGAGGGCAAATCCTCAACAAAATATTAGCCAAGTGGCCCTCGCCGGCGTGGCTCAGTGGACAGAGCATGAGCCTGTGGACTGAAGGGTCCCGGGTTCGATTCCAGTCAGAGCACATGCCCGGGTTGGGGGCTTGATCCCCTGTGGGGGGCGTGCGGGAGGCAGCCGGTCCATGATTCTCTCTCATCACTGATGTTTCTCTCTCCCTCCCCCTTTCCCTCTCCCTTCCTCTCTGCAATCAATAAAAATGTATTTTTTAAAACTTAAAAAGAAAATAAAAGAGAAAAGAGTACACCTTATATACACAGACAGGTCAACATTGCACGGACCCCTCTCCTCAATGAAAGGACCTGCCCGACAACGGCCTCTCCTTGCATGATGCCGAGGCCACGCGACGGTCAGCCTGTCCCTTCCTCAGAGACGGGACACCGGCGGCTGTGAGGGTGGAAAAGGCCGAGAGACATGGGGGGGGGGTCTCGGGCGCCGGGCGGTGCTGGGGGGCGGGGAGGGAGCTCACAGCAGAGCCCACGGCACAGGCATCGGAAGCACCGCCCTGCGGCCGGAGACGTCGGCACCGGCACCGATAGGCATCAGCACGTCCTGTGCAGCGCGTCGGCTCCTTCTCCGGTCAGACACTCGGCAACACGGCAACACGGCTGCCCTTTCACAAGCCGGCCCCGCCCGGCCCCTTCCCCTCGGGCCCCATCCCTCCCGCCTGCGCTGGAGGAGCGGAGCGGCTTTGACCGGCGTTTGCTGAGACTCTCGTGGGGAAAGCAGAGCACAAACCAGCCTGGCGTGGGGCGGTCCCGCTGGACGGGCTCCTGGGGGGGCCGAGGTGCCTGTCCCGAAACGCTCTGTCCCCGATTCAGAACCATGCCGCCCCCTCCCCACCGCCCCCAAAGGGACCACCACACACACAGGCCGACCTGACACCCGACAAGCAGCCCTGGCTCCACAGCAGCGCGCAGACGGAGCCGCGAGGCACACGGAGGCCTGTGCCAGCTGACGGGAGCCCTCCCTCCTCAGACAACCAAAGCTCACGGACATCTGGAAAGCACCGAAGAGCTAACAAGAGCCTTGGCTGGTGTGGCCCAGTGGAGAGAGCGTCGGCCTGCAGACTGAGGGTCCCGGGTTCGATTTCGGTCAAGGACACATGCCGGGTTGTGGGCTTGATCCCCAGTTGGGGGGTGGGGGGGCGTGCAGGAGGCAGCCGACCCAGGATTCCCTCTCATCACTGACGTTTCTATCTCTCTCCCTCTCCCTTCCTCCCTGAAGTCAACATACAAACAAATAAATAAATAGAAAGTGCCAACAAGGTGCTGAGGAGGTGCCGGCTGACAGCCCAGCGAGGACGGGAGCCCCGGGAGCTGAGCCTGTTGCATCAGCCACGTCCTCCCTGGAGGTGGCCGCCCACTGGGTGGGGGGACGACGACAAAAGGGCGACGTGTGAATTTGAGAGTCTTGCCGGGCTAGGGGCGCAGAACGTACCACGGGGAGGGGGGGCGGGGGGGACAGGGAGGACCCACTACCTGTTTGGGGCTGTGACCTGAGGGATGGGGCCGTGGGGTGAGGATGAACCAGAGCAGACGATGCAGTCAGATGGGCCTGTGGCCCGGAAATCTCCGGCCTTGAGCCTGGAATGACGTGACCCCAGGATTCTAGGGCTCCTGGGCACCTGGCAGAAGCAAACCAACCCAGGACTTATCCTGGGCCTCAAAACACTGCAAAAACCACGTTTCACACATCAGGTCCAGCACAAGATCTAAAGTAATCAGGCCCCTCGGACACAAATCGGGCAGAACCCGCAGAATTTGACAACAGAAACACGCCCCCGGGATCCCAGCGACTGGAATGACCGCAGACTGAAGACGGCCCGCGTTCTGCCAGCCCCTCTGTCTGCCCCACCAGCGTCCAGAGGTCTCGTCTGAGAAAACACACCTGATGCTGCTCAGCCCTGTGTGCATGGCCGCGGCCCTGGGCCCGTCCCTTCACAGCCTGCCACGCAGCGCGACGGTCCTGGGTCTTACCCAGTGAGGGGCCCGGCTCCTCACAGCCCCTGGCTGCGTACGTGCTGAGTAAATATCTCGTACGTGCTGAGTAAATATCTACCAGCAGTCCGCCTCCCGCCTCCACTCATTTTTTAAATATGTTTATTGATTTCGGAGAGGAAATGAGAGGGAGAGATAGAAACATCAATGATGAGAGAGAATCATTGATCAGCTGGCTGCCTCCTGGATCCAGCCAACAACCAGGGCATGTGTCCTGACCAGGAATCGAACCGTGACCTCCTGGTTCATAGGTCAATGTTCAACCACTAAACCATGCCCATTGGGCTACTTCCTTGATTTTATTTTATGTGATTTTTTTTGTTTTTGGTCTTTCCTTCCTTGATTTTAGAGAGAGAAGGAGAGGGAGAGAGAGGGGGAGAGAAACATTGATTTGCTGTTCCACTTATTTGTGCATTCATTGGTTGACTCTTGGATGTGCCCTGACTGGGGGTCGAACCCGCGATCTTAGGACGATGCTCTGAGCAGGGCCAAGAGTGGTCTTGATAATCGGTGCTACAGACTGAACTGACGGAGTTTGTGTCCCCCGAGAAGCCGTGTGTTGAAGCCCTAATCCCCAGTGTGATTGCATGGGAGACAGGACCTACAGGGTTCAATGAGGTCATCAGGGTGGGACCTAATCCAATAGGACTGGGGTCCTATCAGAAGAGAAATGCAGACCTCGCTCTCTCTCTCTCCACCCCCTCTCTCCTTCTCTCTCTCTCTCCCTCCCCTCTCTCCTTTTCTCTCCCCCCCTCCTGCTTTCCCTCCCCCCTCCTTCTCTCTCTCTCTGTCTTTATGTCTGTCTCTCTCTCATGCACAGAGAAAATGCCACATGAGTACACAGCAAGCCGATGGCTATTTACAAGCAGGAAGGCGAGGCCTCGCCAGAAACCAACTCTGCCGGCACCTTGACCTTGCTTGACCTTGGACTTCCCCTCGTTCAAGGCGCCAGGTCTGTGGTGCTGGTCGAGGGAGCGAGCATGAGCAGACTCACTCACACACCATTTCTGGGATGTCGCCCGTCTACAGACACACCCCCACGGGAGATGAGACTTCAACTCAAACCGACAAGAACGGGGAGGGAGTGAACACAGGACGTTAGAAAGGTGGCTTTTTAAAAAGTTTTATTTCAAGAACTTTTGTTGTTTTTACTGGTATTTCAAAAAAAGGTGGATCCAAGTACAAAAAGAAAAAGTCAGTTGAATAACAGCAGAGGCTTAGAAACCACAGCAGCAGAAGCGATGGACAGACAGACGCACAGACAACCACCCAGGGACGCGATTCTGCTCGGCTCCTGGCTGACTGTGTCTCCCTCCCGTGCAACACACACGAAGCATGCCATGAGACAGAAAAGGAAAAGCTGGACCAACAGCTACAAAGGAGCGACCTTGCCCTCCTCCCCCGCCCCGCCCCCCTCCTCGCCCCTCCCTCCTCAGGTCAAGTTGTTCTGAAGACAGTTGGCCTCCAGCTCCGCCGGGTCCCCGCGGCCCTCGAGCTTGGGCGACAGCGAGTTCTGAATGTTGAAGGGCTCCTCCTCTTTCAGGCAGGACTTGAGGACCTCCTGGATTTTGTGGGGGGCGCTGGGGTCGTCCTGCAAGAGGGACAGAGGTGAGGGAGGGGCGGGACGGAGGCCGAAGGCAGGAGAGGGACCAAATGACCGGCGGAGCGAGCGAGGGAAGCGTGAGACGATGAGCCACAGGACGGGCCAGCAGCTGCTTTTGGGGAAAGTCACCGTCAGAGACCCCGGCCGGACAGAGGGGACTTGATCCAAACACCTTTCTTTCTTCCTTTTTAAAAAGATACATGTTTACTGATTTCAGAGGGGAAATGAGAGGGAGGGAGAGAAACACCGATGATGAGAGAGAGGCATGGACTGTGGCCTCCTGCCCTCCCAACTGGGGATGAGCCCGCAACCCAGGCATGTTCCCCTGACCGGAATCGAACCCGGGACCCTTCAGTCTGCAGGCCGATGCTCTGTCCACTGAGCCACACCGGCCAGGGCCTGCTTTGCTTGGGACACTGTCTCTGACAGGACCTGGTGTTTGACTGGCCAGAGCACACACTGGGCTGGGTCTTTGAAGAGTCGGTGGGACTTGTGTTGGGTTTCAGCTGGTCTTTAAGGAGCCCACCCCCTAAGGACAGGGCTTCCCCGGACCTATGGTCCCACCTGGGTTCAGGCCACCTCAGCCCTAACCACTGCCTAGAAGTCTGCCGACATTTAGGGTCCCGAAACAATGTCAAGACGGTTTGCCCAGCCCCCCCAAGGGCAACGCCTCTGGCTTCAGTGACCCCTAGGCATCCCCCAGCAATCAAAGGCCAGCTTCCTCCTCGGCAGAAAGAGCAGGAAGACGAAGCACCATCATCCTAACCCTCCGCACCCCCACGGCTCCGCGAGACGGCGAGAGAGGCGCCATCAAGCCCCCCTTCCCATGCCCACGGCCCCAACCCCAGCGGATCCCAGGGGCTGAGTGGCGGCTCCGCACCGAGACAGACGCAGGCCCAGCCGGGCTGAGCGTGCACCCGGAGGGGAGGCCCAAGGAAGGCGCCACCTGGAGGATAAGGTTACAGGGGAGCCGGCGTGGGCAGGGGGTGCAGGGGGTGCGGGCAGCGGCCCGGTTTCCTTACGTTTGGGTGCGAGCCCTCGGCAATGGTGGAAAGGGAGAAGTTGTCGTTGTGGAGTTCAGACGGCGTCCGGAATTTGCTGTTTGGACAGAAGAGAGAAGGGAACACCTAAGTGAAGTGATCGTGGCAAACTCTGAGGAGCCCATGGGCCCAGCGCTGCATCTCAGCAAATGCCGTGGCCAGGAATAGACGCGCCGTTATTGGCTGTGCCACTGAGGGTCACTTCTGCCGTTTATTTATTTATTTTAAGTATACTTTATTGGTTTCAGAGAGGAAGGGAGAGGGAGAGAGAGATAGAAACACCAATGATGAGAGTATCATGGATCGCCTGCCTTCTGCACGCTCTCTACTGGGGACCAAGCCCTGGGCATGTGCCTTTGACTGGAATCGAACCCGGGACCCTTCAGTCCGCAGGCTGACGCTCTATCCACTGAGCCGCACTGGCCAGGGCTAAACTTCTACCATTTAAACCAGGAGCCTGTAGTGTTTGTATTACCGACTCCAAGTAGCTCATTCAAACGTTAGATAAAGAACTGACAACGAGATGAGCAGCTATGACCAGGCAGTTACAGCACATCGTAATGCCATCTGGCCAACGGTGGCTGTAAGATGCCAGCGACTGTAAGACACAATCCAGCTTCTGAGACGTTAATATGTGAAAAAGAAAAACACCCCAAACTGCCCGTGTATCCCAGAATTAACGCACCGCGCAGTCTCTGCAGTGCAGGGCCCGGGGCCAGGCGGGGGAGGCGGGGCAGCGTGCGAGCTGACCGGGCTGACCGGGCTGACCGAGCTGACCGGGCTGACCGAGGTGACAGAACTGACCGGGCTGACCGAGCGGACCAGGCTGACCGAGGTGACAGAACTGACCGGGCTGACCGAGCGGACCAGGCTGACCGGGCTGACCGAGCGGACCAGGCTGACCGAGTGGACCAGGCTGACCGGGCTGACCGAGCTGACAGAGCTGACCGGGCTGACCGAGCTGACCGGGCTGACCGAGCTGACCGAGCTGACCGAGCGGACCGAGCTGACCGAGCTGACCGGGCTGACCGAGGTGACAGAACTGACCGGGCTGACCGAGCGGACCGAGCTGACAGAGCGGACCAGGCTGACCGGGCTGACCGAGCTGACAGAGCTGACCGGGCTGACCGAGCGGACCAGGCTGACCGAGCGGACCAGGCTGACCGGGCTGACCGAGCTGACAGAGCTGACCGGGCTGACCGAGCGGACCAGGCTGACCGGGCTGACCGAGCTGACAGAGCTGACCGGGCTGACCGAGCTGACCGAGCTGACCGGGCTGACCGAGGTGACAGAACTGACCGGGCTGACCGAGGTGACAGAACTGACCGGGCTGACCGAGCTGACCGAGCTGACCGAGCGGACCAGGCTGACCGGGCTGACCGAGCGGACCAGGCTGACCGGGCTGACCGAGCGGACCAAGCTGACCGGGCTGACCGAGCGGACCAGGCTGACCGGGCTGACCGAGCTGACAGAACTGACCGGGCTGACCGGGCGCAGGAGCCAAGTCTGCGCAGAACATAGCAGCTCCGGGGAGGCCCAGAGCGAGGCTCTGCCAGTCACACTCAGCTTGTCCACACCCAGGGCAGCCAGCGGCTCCCCTCCCCCCATCCTCACGCAGCTGGCTGTCCTGGCGGGGGGTCCGCCCTCTGCATCCCCTGTGGGGGGCTGAGGAGCCCAGGGCCAGGCTGCAGGGGGGCCGAGCTCACCCAGCAAAGGAGCCACAGACGGCTCGTCCTCGCCCCGGCCCAGGGCCCAGTGTCGGGCACATTCTCCCGGGAGCCTCGGGCAGGCGGGGACTGATGGGGCGACAGGTGGGAAGGGTGGTGGGCACAGTTCTGAGAGAATTGTCTCTTGGGCCCCAAGGGAGCTGAACCCCAATCTCCTCCTTTTGTTTTGTTGTTGTTAGTCCTCACCCGAGGACATTTCCCCTGGATTTTAGGGAGAGAGAGGGAAAGAGAGAGACCTCCATGTGAGAGGAACATCGCGGGCGCAGACTCACTGGGTCCGGCGCAGCTTGGTGTTCTCCGTCTTGAGCAGGTACAGCTTCTTGGCAAAGAACACGGTCACCATGAAGAGCAGGAGCAGCACCAGGGCGGCCGCGCCCACGGCCACGCACATCACCTGGAAGTCGGTGACGATGGACTCGCAGCGCGTCCCCTTGTGCCAGATGTAGTCCTGGGTGTTGCACCTGCAGCAGCAAACGGGGCAAAGCCAGGTGGTGGGCGGGCGGCCCAGTGACCGCACTGACCTCCCCGCCTGATCCGAGGACGCCCGGGAGCCGGGCTGCCCCACGCCGGGCAGACCTCGCAGCTGAGACTCCTGGCCCGGCCATAGCCACCCAAGCAGTGGGCTGGGCCGCTCTGGGGTCCATGACATCAAGGTAGCCAGGGCCCGAGGGACCGAACGCACTGGCCAGTCGCTGGCTGTGAGGTGGCCAGGAGCAAAGGGAAGCCCGGTTTCCCGCGCACGGCTCTCAGCTGCCCCACCCCCAGCCCTGGGCTCCGGACAAAAGAAGATGAAACACAAGATGAACGCGCCCCACACATGCAGCCTGCTTGTTGCTGTGCAGTCCCCTCGGGTCATGTGGCGAACCAGGCCCAGACGAGGCACGTCCGCTCCCACCTCTGCGGCCCCCAACGCTCTGCCCCCCAAGCCTGGGTCCTGTCACCGTGAGAACTGCCAGGAGAGCATCGTGAGAATCGCCCCTCCGGTGGGTTTAGTCCTTTTGTTGAGTGACTTTCTCCTGCCCTTGGGGACATTCCCAGGCTCCAACTCTCCCAATGACATTGCTGTTTCCATGGGAACCAGGCTGCTTCAAAGAGGCAAGATGTGGAAGGATACAGAGGCAGGCAGGGTGAGTGCCAGGCGAGAAGGGAGGACCGGCTCCGCCACACCCAGAGCAGAGCAGGGTGGGGGCACGTGGCTAACGGGATGCCGTCCCTCCCGCCGCCCCCCCCCCCCCCCCCCCCCCCCGGCCGCGAGGCCGGTGGCGCTAGCCCGCTGCTCGGGAGAAGTTCTGCCCGGCTCTCCGGCCCGTCCTCTGCGGCGGGTCGGGGAGACAAAGGCACCGCAGTCTGCAGCTGCGGCTCAGCAGCCTCTGTGCCTGGAATGCTAAACCGTTCCCAAGCCTCAGCCGGCCCGTGTGCACAGCGGGGAGGGAGGCTGAGCAAGGGGTCTGGGGGGGCTTGGCCTTCCGAGGGAGGACCCCGGGAGCCAAGGCCACACCGCCAGGCAGGACATGCTGACTCTCCCACCCGGGAACCCCGAGAGCCCGGGAGGGGCCGGGGACTCTGCTGGCTCCCGGGGGCAGCGGGGGCTCCCCAGGGGCAGCGGGGGCTCCGCAGGGCGCACTCTGGAGGGAGCTTCCTCTGAAGGTGAAACTCAGACCTCCACTAGGATGGGGCCATGACTTCCCACAGAGACCCCACCTCCCGGCTCAACCCATCACTACGGTCTCCCCAGTGACGTGTGAGGAGCAAAATCACGGGCGCTCCCATGTCCGGTGGCCCTTCACCAACCACACGGTCTTGTCACCATTATTTCTTTCCTTTTTTTGTTTGGTTTAAAGTATATTTTTGTTGATTTCAGAGAGGAAGGAAGAGGAAGAGAGAGAGAGAAACATCAGTGATGAGAAAGAATCGTGGATGGGCTGCCCCCTCACACCCCCTACTGGGGATCAAGTCCGCAACCCGGGCCTGTGCCCTGACCGGGAATCCAACCGTGACCTCCTGGTTCCTAGGTCCACCATTGAGGCACCGTGGCCGGGCCACCATTATTTCCTGATCACAGCAGCTCCTTCTGGCCGTGGCTCGGTAACGCCACTCAGAATGGGGGACACATCCTTCTGTGAGTGACCTCAGTGCCAGGGTCATTTGTAGGAAACAACTTCACAGGAAGGAACTGGAAGTCAAGTTTTCATGCCAAAGGCACAACATTCATGCTTTCTACATGTTACTCTCCTATCAGAACATCAAGACCTATAGGATTTGAATTCTTCACACACCTCCAAAAAGACCATGAAAAAGGAACATTGGGAATGACACTTAAAAAAGACGTCCATGCTCTGGCCGGTTTGGCTCAGTGGATAGAGCCATTGGCCTGTGGACTGAAGGGTCCGGGTTCGATTCTGGTCAAGGGCACATGCCCTGGTTGCGGGCTCGATCCCCAGTGGGGGGATGTGCAGGAGGCAGCCGATCCATGATTCTCTCTCAACATTGATGTTTCTCTCTCTCCTCCTCTCCCTTCTTCTCTGAAATCGACAAGACACATTTTTTAAAAAGACACCCACGCTCTAGAAACGCTCCTCCCAGGACCGACAGAAACAAGTCCCCGCGAGCCTGAGGCTCTGCTGCCCGCGTGGGGCCAGGAGAGGACGAAGGCAGCTCACCGCACATCGGCCCGACCCACGAATCCCCCAGGACGGCCCGGGCTCCCCGGCAGGTTACCCGCTCCGGGAGGGCTGTGGACAGAGCAATCCCTGCGGAGCATGGGCTGGTGCTGCGGACAGTGTCCTGAGAGGCACCGACTCTCCGTGTCTTTTCTGGACGGTGTTCCAAGGAGACAGAAATCAAGGCAGAAGGGGAAAAGCCACGACCCAGACCCCACCACCTCTGCTGCCCCTGGTCAGACCGACTCAGCTCGAGCGGCTGCTCTCTGCTGGGTCCGGCCCAGGAGAAGGACCTCACTCTGACGGGACACACTCAGCCCCAACTTGGCCCTGCCAGTGGCTCAGGGGCGTGGCCAGCCGTGGTCTCGCCTCCCGAGTAGGTTTAAGGGCACACTCTCTCCCCCCTAAAACTCCTCAAGCAGCAAAGGCCTCTCCGAAACCCTTCCTTTTGCCTCTATTTAAAAAATATATATATATATATATATATTTTTATTAATTTCAGAGAGGAAGGAAGAGGGAGAGAAAGACAGAAACATCAATGACGAGAGAGAATCATGGATCAGCTGCCTCCTGCACGCCCCGCACTGGGGGTCAAGCCCGAAACCCGGGCCTGTGTCCCTGACCCAAATCGAACCCGTAACCCTTCAGTCCACAGGCCGACGCTCTATCCCCTGAGCCACACTGGCCAGAGCCCTTGTGCCTTTAGAGTTAGTGGTTGGATCAAGGACACAACCCTTAGAGGAAACTCGGGTCTTGTCCCCGAGGACCCTCTCCACGACGGTCCGGGCAGCGCGTTCAGGCCGCACTTTCGCAGACGCTGCCTGAGGGGAGGTCTCCTGCCCGGTCCCGTGGAGGCTGGGCCTGTCCCCCGGCGGGGGCTCCTCACACACACTGGCCGGCAGTTCTCTCTCCCGCTCCGGCCGCGCCCACGCCCTCACCTGCAGAAGGCCCCGAGGTGCTCCACCAGGTAGCACTGGCCGCCGTTGTGACAGTAGCTGGGGAGCAGGTCGCACACCGACCGGCAGGAGCTGTTGTGCCGCACGAAGCCGCTGCGGCAGGCGGTGCCGTTCTCGCCGGGGGCCAGGTCCCTGCCGGGCTCCCCTGGACGGGGCCTGAGCGCGATGCTGCCCCCGGGGGCCATGCCCAGGGTGTGCTGGGGGGGGCCCGCGTGCCACCAGCGGGGGGGCTGGCCGGTGCCGGGCCGGGGCCTCTCGCTGGGCACCAGGTCGCCGGGGCCGTCCCGGGGTCCCCCGCCGGCGGCCTCCTTGCCCTCCTCCTCCTCCTCCTCCTGCTCCTCCTCCTCCAGGTCGTCGTAGAAGGACGTGGTGGGGTAGAAGTCGGACTCGTCGAAGGGGGTGAAGTCGTCGTACAGGTCCAGCAGGCTCCAGGAGGGGGTCTCGCCCCCGTCGTCGGGGTGGCGCTCGGAGGCCCCTGGCGGCCCCGGGAAGCTCCCCAGGTCGGCGCCGTGGCCCTCGCCGTCCAGCCCCTCGAAGTAGTCGAGGTCGATGGCGTCGGGGCCCGGGTGGAGCTCCGGGGCGCCCGGGAGCGGGGACGTGGGCTCTGGCCCCCGAGGCTCCGGCGCGCTGCCTCCCGGGTCCGGCCAAACCTCCGCGGGGCGCTGCTGGGGGCCTTCGGGGCCTGGGCTCGGCTGGTGGCCGGCGGTCGGGGCGGGCGGTCCGGCCGCAGTGGCTGCGGGAGGGGCGGGCGGCGCCGAGGACGGCCCAGGGGCCTCGCCCGGAGCCGGGGCCGTGGTGGGCAGGGCCTGCGTGTCCCCGCTGCCCGCCTCCGCCGTGGCCGCGCCCGGGCCCGCGCCGTCAGCCTCCAGCCAGGCCGCGCCCGTCACGGCCGCCGACGCCTCCACCGCGTCCTCCGGCCCGACCCCCGGGCCCCCCGGGGCGCGCTCGCCGCCGGGCGCCGTCCAGGCCGCCGCCTCCTCCCCGGCTCCCGGCGGGCCCTGCTCCCGCGTGTCGTTGGCACGCGGCTCCCACGCGACGGTGGTCGGGGCGGGCTCGTCCCCCTCGACGGCGCTGCCAGCCTCACGCGCTGCAGGCAGAGGGGCGGCGTCAGGGCCCGGCTGCAGGCCCCGCCCACCCGCCCACGGCGCGGCCACGCCCCCTATCAGCCCCGCCCACTAAGCCGGGAACCGTCCCGCCAGGTGTCCCCGCCCAGGCCCCGCCCTTCGAGAGGCCCCGCCCCCGACCTGACCCACAGTCTCACCAGCCCCCCACCCCCCCACGCCCCAGGAATAGAGCTGATGCTCGGGGTGAAGCTCCAGGGCAAGGCTCAAGCCTTGACCTCCGAACTCGCACACAGGCCCCGCCCACCAGCGCAGGCCCCGCCCGGAACTCGCACCCTCAGGCCCCGCCCACCAAGGCCCCGCCCCGAACTCGCACCCTCCTGCACCCCCTTCACCTCTAAGTCGGGGGCTCAAGGCTGACCCTCAGGCCCGTCCCCCGGACCCCCCGCAGCCGGCACCTGGGCCCGCACAGCCAGGTCCGGCCGGCCGCCCTTCGGCCTTCCCGGGACCCCACCTCTCCGCGCACCCCTTTCCCCGCGCGGCCCCGCCCCCGGCCTCCCGCTCGCGGGCCTGGCGGCACCCGAGGCCGGCGGGTCCTGGCTCTGGGGGAGGGCGAGCCCGCGGGTCCCGGGCGGTCGGTACCTACCCGGCGCGGCCCCGGCGACCAGCACCAGCGTGGCCGCCAGGAGCGGCAGCAGCGGCGGCGGCCCCCGGCCCGGGCCCCCGCCCCCAGCTCGGCCCATGGCGCGGCCCCCGGGCGCTGTCCACGGTCTGTCCCGCTCGCTGCGCCTCCGCTCGCGGCCGCCGCGCTTCCCGCCGGACTGCGGCGTCTCAGCCCGCGATGGGCAGCGCGAGGAGCCGCATGCCGCCGCCGTCCCCGGCGCCCGCCGTCCCCGCTGTCCCCGCCGCGCTCCCCGCCTCCCGCGCCACCGCTCCGCGCTCGGCGCCGCCCCCACCCCGCCCGCCGCTCCCGCCCCGCGCACGTCGCTCTGACGCCGGCCCCGCTCCGTCCGCCTGCGGGAGGGACCGACCGACCCCCGGCTCGGGCCGCTGAGACCCACGGAAGCGGAGGGCGAGCAGCCGGGCCACAGCGCCGCGCGTGGCGGGGCCGACAGGTGCGCGGGCGGGAGGCCTGCGGGCGGGGTCGCGGCCCCGCCTCCCCGTGGAGCGCCGGCGCGGGACCCCACCCGCGAGGATCCTACCCGCCACGCGGCGGGCACGGAGGCGGGGGCCCGGCACCCGCAGACTCGGGGCGGGGCTCCGAGGGGCCGCAGGGCGGGAGCCCGAGCCGCGCGTGGCCACGAGCCGCCCCGGGTGCCGGCGCCTCTCTGATGTCCGCTCCCTGCGTGTGGGGCGGGAAGGGGCTCGGGTCCCCGGGGCCCCCCCCCTGAGGGCCGGGCGCGCGCTGGCAGCGCCGGGCAAGGGGCGCCGTGCGGCCGGCTCTCATCGGATCAGCCCTGACCCGCGGCAGCCGGAGCCCAGGCTCCCCGGCTCCCCGGCTCCCCGCCTCCCGCTGCCCCGGGAGGGCCTTTCCTCGCGATTCCTCCCCCCGGAGGCGTCGCCCCGGGGTCCGGGTCGCCGCCGCTCAGGTTCCCGGGTGGACCAGGGCCGAGACCGCAGCCCGGGGCGCGCCGCCAGGCCAGGCACCAGTCTGCCTGGGCCTCACCCCAGCCCTGCAGGCGGGGCAGTCGCGACCTGGCCGCTTAGTTTATCCACCAAAGTCAGCCTCCCGCTGTGTGTGACCCACGTGACACTCGGGGTCAGAGCCGACCTGTGGCAGCGCTTCCCGAGACACCCCGCTTCCCGAGACACCCGCCCGTCCCTGGGGAGCCGCACGCACTGAGACGGAGAGTCACCGCCTGGGATGGGGTTCCCTCCGTTCAACCTGTTTCCCTGCCTGGAACGGCCTACTGCCGCAGTGCTGCTCCTCTCCAGCTCCGCCGGCAAACCCCTCACCCCCGCAGCCTGCACAACCTGCCCAGCACACCGGATGCCCTCATCCCAGTGGGCAGCGCCAGGCGGGGGGAGGGCTCCCAGGGCTGGGAGGAGGCACAGGTGGGTGAATGGCAGCATCTACTCTCAGCCCAGAACCATGGGTCTGGAGCTTCCTGCAAGGAGACTGTCTTTTTATGCTTATTTTTTTCATTTGACTTTTTATTGACTATTGGGGTGAAATTGGTTAATAAAATTATAGAGGCCTCAGGTATACAATTCTCTATCATCTTCTATTGTGTGTTCGCTGCCCAGTCACGTCTCCTGCCACACCCCCCCCCCCTTCCCTCTGGTAATCACCATACTTCCTATGAGGCTCTTTCCTTAATCCCGTCACCTCCTTCACCAGGCCCTCCACACCCGCCTCTGACACCGTCCGTCCGTTCTCTGCATCTGAGTCTATTTTGTTTGTTTAGACCACATAGAAGTGAAACCATACAGTATTTTTTCTTTGGGTTCATACTGCCTCTGGGGACAGCACATACCAGACAGAGGCTGGGGAGGGCTTCGCACTTGCCTTTTGGCCAGACACCCTCCAACCCCGGCAGCCTCCCGCCTGTGGCTTCTCTGTCTCCTTCACTCTTGGGTGGTGGTTGCAGGGGAGGTGGTGCACATGCCTGCCCGCCGCCGCCGCCGCCTCCCCGGGAGAGGCCTCGTGGACTGGCCTTCGCCGTCTGGGGCATGACAACCGCTCCCGAGTTTCTCACCGTCTGGATGGGGTCCCTACTCCCACACCTTCCATAAAACTGACCTACTCCGCTCCTCATTTTAAGAAGTTTGTTCCGATAAGCAAGGGCCCAGTATAAAATAGGGAATGTCTCCTTCCTGAGCAGCCCCTTCCCTTCCGCGGGACAGGCTCTGCTAGGACTTCCATTTTGGGATTTTAAACCAACGGTTGCCATTCGGGTCCACTCAGATCCTCCCTAGCAGGTGCCACCAGCAGCTTCAGAACTGAGCACAGCACCCCTGGCTGGGTGACACCAGAACAAGAGGGAGGTGAGCTGGTCAGGCCACGATGGGAAGAGCAGCCGCAGCCTCGGATGTGCGTAAGCGTAGGAGAGCCAGTGCCCCGGGTCTCATACACGAGAAAGGGGTAGCATACTGCATCAAATGTATGTAACGTTTCCTCTGGGCACAAGGTCGGAGGAGACTAAAGAGGGGAGAAGGGGAGATAAGATACAGGAACTGGACTGTGAAAGAAAAGAAACTCATCTCCAAGACCTACCACGTCCCCTCGTGCACGTGGGGGCCAGGGATACTCGCCAGGCGATGCTTCTGCACGCCTGAGGCTCCTACTGGGGTTGGCCACCTGACCCCAGCACCAAGGCCCGTTGCCATGGCTACAGCCAGCTTCCCTGTGCACAGAAGCCCTAGCTTCACCCGGGTTGCTGTCCGGGCAGGAGCGGCTCCAGCTGCCAAGGCTGGACTTACAGGCTGCACAGGACGTGGTTCCTGCGTTAAGCCTCAGTAGCGACCACGAACACCTTTGTGAATGTTTGTCCTCCTGGGGGTCTAATTTGCCTCATTCTTCAAAACCACACTATGAGCATCTTGCAGACTGACGCTGAGATCCTGCAGACGTGGGAAGGCCAGGCCTAAAGTCTTGATTTCAAACCTTTTCATTCTTGTGTCTTAATTTCAGAAGAGGCATCAGGATGCAGAGGTCAGGCCTCACTCAAAAGAATGGGGGTCCTGCCCCCCCTTCCACAGCACCCCTCCACCAGGGCATGTCAGAGTTAATGCTATGATCTCCCAAGATCAGTGATGGTGAACCTTTTGAGCTTGGCGTGTCAGCATTTTGAAAAACCCTAACTTAACTCTGGTGCCGTGTCACATATAGAATGGAGCGGCCTCTCTGGGCAGTGTGCTGGTGGAAGCCTGGCTGGGCTGCAGGGCAGGTGGCTGTGACCGCTTGGTGCTGGGCATGAGCCTTCTCGAACCACTTGCAGGAAGAAAGGAGGAGCCAGGGGTCAGGGTGCCGGGTTCAAGGCTGACCACCCCCTGCCCTGGCTGCAGGCACTCTGGATGCTCAGCTGCTCTCGTCCTAGGAAAGGACATCCTCCCTGGAGATGGCCCCCCTGTCCCCAGCAGACTTCTACACGGTGGCAAAGCCCCTGGTTCCCACAGCCTCAAAGTCAGCTCAAGCTGGGAGGAAGCCACAGTACACACCAGCAGAGCTCAGGTGAGGAGCGGCCAGGCTGGTCTGCAGGAGTCCTGCTGCCCCGGCAGGCGGCCTTTCTCAGCATTTCTCCAGAGCCTGCAGCTACTGCAGACAAAAGAGACGAGGATGGCACAGCCGATTTGCATGGCCTTGGGGAATCCTTCCATGTCGGGGCCAAACCAGCCACAGACATCAAGAGCCATGCAAAGGGGCCACAGCCGCCAGGAGCCTCGGCTCCCGGACTCTCCCGGACTGCGGCGGCCAGGGCACGGCAGAGGGTGGAACCGAGGAACCCGAGTGGAGGCCTCCGTCCAGGCGTCCCAAGGGGCCACGGTGTGGTACTCAGGCTGCTTCCCCGAGGCCTGCAGAGGCCGGACCTGAGGGTTGGCGGGAAGGTGGCTGCCAGGATCGGTCGCCTGGCTGCTCCCCGGGGGTTTGGAAGGGCCTGGAGAGGCCTCTGGGGGCAGGAGGGAGGAAAAGTGGCCCCAGTCCTGCAAGGCGGGCAGGAGCAGGAAGGCAAGGCTCTGCCCCTGGCACGGGGCTGGGGATGGTCCCGGAGAGCCAGCTGATTGGCTGCAGGGTCCTGGGCTTGAACAGCAGCACCTCGAGGATGCACCCAGCCACCCCATTCTGAGACGACTGCCTTCAATGCAGCAACCCCATGGGGTCAAGGTGCGCTCTCCTTGTTCCCAGGAACAAATCCCGCTGCAGCAGGTGCAGCTGGACAGAGCCAGCTCCTGGGACTGCAGGACCAGGGCCTTATAGGGTCAGAGTTTGAGGAAAGAGCGCTTCTCGGGGGCTGGCACTGCGCATCCAGATGAACCGGTGCTGGTGACTCACGTGGTTTCCTGGAAGTAAGGTCACCCTCAAGGTTATCGCCCCAGCAGGACGGAAACCACGGGAGAGCATCCGATGCAGACTGCACACATCACCCCAGGACACTCGCGACAGGAGTTTCTTTTCTTCGTGGACACTGGCGCGATCAAACACAATCATGGCTGTTCACTATGGGAACGGTCTGGTGCCTCACCTGCAAGAATTAAGCAGCTTGGCCGACCTTACTCATCTTACTTCACTGCATGCAAGTCCCATGCCTGGAGCACAGGAGATCCTCACGTTTACTGGACTCATGAAGCGAACGGTCAGGAACTGGGGCAGACCTGCTCTACCACAGCCTCCTTCACCAGTGGCCCCAACAGCGGCACCAGACCCCTGGGGACCTGCTAACCAGGCCAGATTCCCGAACCCCCGACCCACTGAGCCAGGTCTGCGGGCAGGCCCAGCAGCCTGTGCAAACCCTGCAGGAGACCCTGTTCCTAATCGCATCTGGGGGAGGACTCCACAGCCAGGGCCTCAGGGACCCTCGGAAGACGGACTGTACCTGCCCGGCTCTGCTCTGGGGAACTGTGAGGGCTGGAAGCCAGCTTCAGTGTGGTTTTCCTCCCAACTCACTGCCGAGAGCAGGCCCCGGTGGCGGCTGTAGCCCCTTCACTGGAGGCACAGGGGGCGGGTCAGGAAGCACAGCGGGAGCCCGTGCTCAGCAGGGCCGGCGCTCAACGCCTGGCAGACACAGAGTCCGCCCCTTCTGCTTCCCCGGGTTCAGGCACCGTGACGCCCGTCGTGTTTCCTGAACAGGGCTTCTCAAAGGCTGCCCGGAGAGGAAGCCCAGCAAGGTTCCAGGACTCCCGCCCGAGAGGCCTGTCTCCACCTCGGGGCTGTGTCTACACTGCGTCCCGATGGACATCCTCTAGCTCGGCCGTTGCCAACGGGGGGTCCACGAGGTCCGAAAGGTGGGCGACCACTGCTCTAGCTCACGAGAACTAGGCTCCCCTGGGGGGAGCCGGGGTGCTGGCCACCCTCCTGGGAGAAGTCCCACGTGTTTTACCTTGACCATGAAATAAACAGTGGGCGAGCCCCGTTTGACTGTGTGTTGCTTAAGGATGAGGAAGGTGGTCGGTCGGTCAATAGGAAGCCACAAGTCACTGGCTAGACTGCTGACACGGACCAGCTGGGGCTGACTGTGTAGGCTTGTCACAGAACCAATGAAGAAACGGTGCAGAAATGCAGAGAACGGACTAGAATTATTTTTCACCCCCAGAAGTGATGATCCATTTATTCACTGAAAAAGAAGGAGTTAGGCCTTCTTGATCAATTTCCTCCAATCTCCCAAAACTCCCTCTCTTCATTTTCCTGAAGTAATAACACACTGAGAAACATGTTTGTACAAAACCATGTATTATTCCCCCCTCACAAAATCGAGTGGCTGTATTACAGGAACGAAACCAGATCAAAGACACGAAAAGAAAAAGTCACTGCTTATACTGAAACCTAACAGTGCTGAGTTCGGGTTCTGTGTACAACTGTCACCGGCGCAGTAAAAATATTCCCACCCGGATCTTTTAAACTTGAAAGCGATCACATTAAAAACCTGAGGTTCCACGGGACCACAGTGTGAGCCAGAATTTCATTTTCCTTCAAGGCCCCAGTGGGAAAGGGAAGTATTCGGAATGAGTTTCCTTTGGGAAAAACTGCGGGAAACAGGGAACCCGGGCCGTGGTCAGAAGGCACTGGGACTCAACGCCGGAAGCAACAGGCTCCCTCCCACCCGAGCCCGAGCCACCGCGGACCACGGCCGCCTGGTCAGAGGCAACACCGAGGGCTTGGAAGGCGCATCCTCCCTGTGGTTTTCTCTTCTGCTACCTGCTTTCTGATATTAAGGGAAAGTTCTCAGGTGTTTCACAAACACCTACCGATACCCTCTCACACATAAAGCTTATAAACTGCGTAGAAAGATCCCCAAAAGATGTTCCATTGGCATTCTAGCTGAAGCTGCCATCAGAGGCTGTGACGGGAAGGGGCACAGCGTTCCCATGCCCACGCAGGACGGGGGAGGCAGGGAGGCCAGTGGAGAACCTGAGAGTCTCCAGTCACCTCGAGCCACTCCTCGCGGGGTAGGAGTGGCTCCAGTTAAGGCATTTCCGCGGCTCTTCCTCTGGAATGGCTCCCGCTCCCGGCCGAACACCTGACCCTGCAGCACGATGCTCTGTCGCCATGAGCTCCGTGACCCCGGCCCGAATGTGAAACCTCAGAGCAGGGGGGGGGGGGGGAGGGGTATGAGGCCGCCTCCCAACCCCAAGCCCCGCTCCACTGAGCCCACTCCCCTGGTGCTGCAAGAGGTAGTGTGGGGACCTGCTCCCGGCAGCCTAACCATGAGCTACATGTCAGCACTGTCTACTTCCTTTTTTAAAAGTTTTCTTTTTTTTTTTTAAGAGCAAAAGCATGCACACAGCAATGAGCAAGGGGGCTGGTTCACAGGGCGCATGGCCTTGGCCCAGACCCTTCCTGGCCGGTCCCAGGGACGAAGGATGCCTCCCCGGGCCCGCCCTCCAAGCTCACGCTGCCTCAGAAAACAGACACCCACCGCAGCCCAGCAAGCCACCCGCAGGGAGGCAGGCCTGTGGCCCTGGAGGGGAGGCCCGGCCTGGGCGGGGCCAAGTCCTCACTGGAGAAAGCCCGGGGGGTCCCCTCTCCGTCCTTCGATTCGGGCGCCTCTACGGGTGGCCAAGCCGCCGAGGCGTCACCCTCAGTGTGTTCTCTGCTCGGATGAGCAGGAGTAAGGTCACTTGCAATGCCTCAGGCTGTCCCTGCTGCTGTCCCTCTGCCCATCACCAGTTTTTGGTTCCTATTAACTTTGAATGCTCTCCCTTAAAGCAATGGAGGAAATAAAAAGAAATGATTATAAAACATTATCCAGAGGCGAAGACAAAGCAAGACTGCAGGACAACAGATATGGTAGAGCCTGGAATAGCCACAGCAGGACAGAAACAACTAGAATGCCCAGGACATACTGTCAGCAGGGCCCCCGCACGAGGGCCGAGGACCTAACTCCAGGGGCGCTAGGGCTGGAGAGGGGAGGCAAGAGGAATGGGGGAGCGGGAGATGGGACACGTGCTTGGGCTGAGAACAAAAATCCTGAAAGAGGCCAGGAAGCTGAGGAATGTGTCTCGTCATCCCCTGCGGCTGGTGGTGGCTTGGGGTCGTGCGCTCCCAGCAGCCCCCAGGCTAGGGCGCGGCCGGGGCAGGTGGGCCTGGAGCAGGAGGCGGAGGGACTCCGTCTGCAGGCGGCGGCTGCGGCGGGGGATCTGCAAACACATCCAAGAGTCACTGGTCACTGAGGAAGCACAGGGGCTTGGGGAGGAAAGGGGACCAGGAGGTGATCTTCTCCAGGCAGGCGACCGGGGCTGCAGGAGGCGCTGAGCTAGGCCCACCTCTCCCAAGAGTCCCCCAGACCTGAGAGGTTAATGACATTTGATTTCGTTGTGTTTTAACGGTTCTGATTTTACTTCTTCAGTTAGATGAGCTACTTCCTGGGCAAGTTCTGTCTTCTTTTCTTCCTCCCACAGTGCTCGCCTAGCCGGGCACAAGGCATGGCTGTCCCCGCCCCCCAGGGCCAGAGCCCCCTCAGGCAGCCGCCGACAGCTGACCATCCTGCAGGCCCCACCGTGGACTGCAGTCCCTGGACTCTGGGCCACGACTCGGGGTCCTGCAGGGACTGAGTGTGCGTGTCTGGGCTCCTGCCCATTTCCGCTGCAGCTGCAGCTCGCACACAGGAACCCTGAGATCACTCATCAGGGGCTTTGAACGTCTGGATTTTGCCAGAAATGAAAACTGAGACAAATAATTCAAGTGCAGTGTTGCTCACTAGTCAGTTCACCCACCCACCCCAGGAGGCTGCACTGCCCGCCAGGGCTGTCAAAGCATGAAGCCCACAGATCTGGTCCCTTCCCACCTTCAGGGGAAATACGGCCGGAAGAGGGGTGCATGCGCCTGTGGAGGCCTGCCCAGGACCCCGAAATACCCCTTTGTGGAAGGAGTGGGCAGTGGGCTGGAAACCATTCACATTCTCCAGTGGCTCCACCGTGGGCCCTTCCGGTCACAAATCCTGAGGCCAAGCACACGGCAGCGGTAAAGACCCATGGTGACAACACCAACAGCAAAGTGGTGGTCTCTGGGCTGCACATCTAAATGGTGCCTGCCAGGCGGCCAGGCAAGCATTTTCCTCCAGAGACGGAACCTGCTCTACCCTCTAACCACAGCCGCAAAGGGACTTCTCCTGCCGTCAGGATCCTGTCCGCACACCCCGCTGACCTGCTCCTTCGGCTGCGCGCCTGCTCTGCCCCGGCCCTGGCGGAGGGTCAGGGGAGGCGTGCCTTATCCACGCAGCGCCCTGGGAAGGGCCCCGAGCACCCAGGCACTCAGGCTCTTCAGAATCGCAGGGAGCCTGGGAAACCCTGTACCACCATTTCCCATGACAGCCCCTGCAGGCCCGGACTCCCGCCCAGCCTCGCTCTCCACTGTGAACAGGGCGCTAACTGCTTGGCATGGACGCGAGCTTCTGAACAAACCCGGACGACAGGCTCTTAGCTGGGGGCAACTGGCCACGAAAGGCGGCATTTTGGGGTGTCTCACCGGGAAGGTCTATGGGGGGAAGGGCAGGCAGAGCCCCAGCAGCGACCTCTGGAGGCCAAGGTGACCTGGCCCCCCACACCCAGATGGACCTGCGGCAGCACCAGCCTCTCCACTGGGCGCGTGGGGACCTCCCCTCCTCCTGAACCCGGCGACGCAGCCACTGCCAGCGGTCAGAGCGGCTGAGCAACTGCCCATCACTCCTGTCCTTCTCTTCACACCCACTGCTTCTTAACAAATACGTATTTTTATTGATGTCAGAGAGGAAGGGAGAGGGAGGGACAGGCAGAAACATCCATGAGGGAGAATCATGGATCTGCTCCTCCTGCAGCCCCACACTGGGGATGGAGCCCGCCACCCGGGCACGTGCCCTGACCAGGAATGGAACCCTGACCTCCTAGTTCCTAGGTCGACACTCAACTCCTGAGCCGAGGCAAGTCAGTCTCCACCCACCACTTCTGGACCTGCATCGATCGAGGCTCCTGCAGGGAAAAGAGCCGCCAGCAGCTCTGTGTCTCCCGAGGCGCATGCCGGACAGGCCCAGCACGTGGGAGCGGGAGGGGAGTGTCTTCCTGGCCCCCTCAGACCTCGGGTCACGAGCGTGTGCCAGGAAGGCTGTGCACCCGTCACTTGGACACCTGCCCCAAAACTGACATTCTGACCCACTGTCCTTCCAGGGACCTACCAATCACAGAGAACAACCCGCCTCCCAGTCCTCCCAGAGACCCCGGGGAACGCACTCCCCAGCGTGCTACTTACACATGCCGTTGGGGGCCGTGAGGGTGACCCGGGGTCCTAGGATGCTTCCTGGCATTGGTGGCATCCCAGCAGAGGCGGGGCCACTCCCGGGGGGGTGGATGCTGGCGGCGACGCTGGGAATCATGCGGCCTGGCAGGGGCTGCCCGGGCATCATGGAACCTGGGCCTGGGATCTGACCTGTGAGGAGAGTGAAGTCCTGAGGCAAGTGCACTGGGAAGAAAGGGACCGACTCCTACCCAAGACTAAATACAAACACCAACTCCCACAGGACCTGAACACCCACGGAGCAGTGTCTGCAATCATCTCTGCCCAGCTTTTATTCTTTCACTTGTCGGGGGCAGCAGGTTGGTGGAGTGAACGGCCACCCTACACCCAGTGCAGGCAGGTGGCCACAGGAAGCAATTACCAAAAAGCACCCAGAAGCAAGCATTCATCCCGGTGAGTCCGGGTGAAGAGTGACTTGCCGAGGATTGCCCTGGGACACCAGGTGCCACGTGGAGGCCGGGGGCCAGAGAGGAGGGTTCAATAGTGAGTCGGTGCCCAGTCCAAGGCCCGCAGCTCAGCCAGGACCGAGCTTCTCGCACGGGCTTCATGGGAAGGGGTGCCCGAGGGGGTGTTGGTCACTACTGTGAGGTCACCATTAAAAAGGGATTGGATTGGAACCCAGGTCCTGGTCACACACACAGATCTCGCCCTCTGTCCCCACCATGAAGAACCCTGCGACCCGGAGCCCAAGGGGTGGGGGGCAGAGGTATCAGACAGGCCACTCTGCCCCCTCTCCCTGGTGCTGGCAACTAGCCCAGGAGCTGCTGGCCCCAGGACAGGGCCCCTCCTGGGTTCAGCTGCACACAAGCCCTGGGAGCCGCAGCAGCCTTTCTGGAAAGAGCCCGATAGTCAACATGTGGGCTTTGCAGGCCACAGGGTCACGGCTACGAGACTCAACGTTGCCATGGCAGCGTGAAGGCAGGCAGAGAGGATGCGTGACAGGCAGGTGTGCCGTGTCCCCATCCACCTTTATTTATGGATCGCACACGTGAACGTCACGTACTTTTCATGGGACATCACATTCCTCCTCCTCTGAGAACTCCTCCTCTATTTAAACTGTCAGCCATTCCCAGCGTGTGGCCACCGAGGCAGGAAGGGAAACGGCGTGACAGGCGCACGGGGCTGGCGCTCCTTCCTGTGAGGGCACACGCTACTCTGTGGCCTGTCAGACGCGTTCATTTAAACGCGGCCCGCGGCCTGCGCGCGTCTGACAGGCTTGCTCTAGGATGAGAAAGGGAATCTGTGGTTTTTCTTGTGTTACAATCTAGGGCCTTCATGCTCTGTGGTGAGGCCTGTTGGCTGAGACGGAACACAGGTTTTAGACTGAGAGTCCGAGGCAGCTGGGGATCGGAAGGCTGGTGGTCCCCTTGTGAGAACATGTGGCTGCCAGAGGCTGGACCTCCAGCTCCTAGAACCGTGAGAGTCAACTTCTGTGACTCGACGTCACCAGGTGCGTGAAGCGGAGACACCCAGACTGAGGAACTCACCCCCGCCCTCAAGTGTGTAGACGGACCCTGTGGACGAAGGTGAGGGGGCCACGCTCTCCCCGCAGCCCGTGGACACACCCTGCGGCACGAAGTGAGGGGGCAGGTCCTCAGCCCACAGGCAGCTCAGGGCAGACCCTCCCCGAACCCGCAGCTGGGAGGGGGCGTCCCGCAGAGCAACCACCTGGCAGAGAGGAGCACCACGGCGACGGGCACAGCGCGAGGTGGCGGCCACACGCCTGCTCCGCACCGGAGCTGCCAGGCCCGGCAGTGCAGTGCCAAGCGACCTGCTCAGCGCAGTGGCCCATTTACCTATTTCCCTGCATCTTCACGGCAACCAGCGGGCAGGGCAGCTGCAGGGCTTCTAAGGCTGTCAGCCCAACAGCTGACAAGCCTCTCTCTCTCTCTCTCTCTCTGAATTCCAAAGCCTCGGAATAAGAAGACCTTCTCTCCTCCTGTCACCAACAGGGCAGCAGCATCACTGGGATGTGGGTGCTCAGAGTCCTAGGAAAGCGGCGGCCAGTGGAGGGGAGTCCCCGGGGGACCTTGCGCAGATCCTTCTCGGGGAGGCCAGGCGCGAAGCAGGAAGCGTGAGCGCTGTCCCTGCGCCTGCAGGGTGCCCTGCTGTCCCCGCCCCTGGACTCGGTGCTGGTGGGCCCCGGGCAGTGGGCGCAGAGAGCGGGTGGGGGCAGGACAAGGACCTCCGCCTCGGGTGGTGCCTTGCCAGGCGGCGACCACTGCTCCCTGCATCCTCCAGACTGTGAGGAGACTGCCCGACGGGAAGGCCCAGCGTCCAGGGAATCGCGTGTCAGGGGCGAGGTCACTTGGTCCAGAGTCACAGGAACCAAGACCGAGCTGAGGTTCCCGCCCAGGCCTGCCTGACCCGGAGGCACATTCTCCTCCCGCCACACCTCCTGTCTGACAGGAGTCTCTCCTCGGAAACGCTCATCTCTGAGGGTCAGGCTCGGTGTGGGCAGAGGTAAGAGGATTGGGGAGGCTAGGAACCCATTCCCTGTAAAGCAGTCTCTATCCTTCTGAAGTCTCAACATCCTGTGGTTTTCCTGGTCGGATTCAGATCTCACCAGGTCAGGGCGCAGGCCTGGGTTGTGGGCTCGATCCCCAGTGGGGGGCGTGCAGGAGGCAGCCGATTGATCAATGACTCTCATCACTGATGTTTCTATCTCCCTCCCTCCCTGATATTAATAAAAATATATTTTAAAAAGTGTTCCTGTATATATTTCCATTAAAGAAACATTCAGGTATTCCCTTCCCCGGCAGAGAAGGAGGTGAGAGCGAGCTGTGGCTCAGAACAGCCGCATCCCAGCCCCGCTGGCGGGGGGCTGACCTACATACAGGCTTTTTTTTTGAACAGCAGGCATCCGAAGCCTAGAAAATGGAAACGTTTGCTAAAATTAGGTATAGCCTCGTGGAAAAACCCTCACACTCTCAGATTCATTAGCTCTTTTACTAACGCGTTACGCCCGCCGAGCCTAATGGAATGTTATGGGAGGACGTCCTCTTTACTCTTTAGGGTGGGAGGGCAGGTGGAAAGGAGTGTGAGAGGGAAGGAGGGAAGGGAGCTGATTTCCAACCTCGAGCACATTGCCAACCTCCCACGGCACATCCCGGCTGAGTCCCCGGAGAACAGATACAACAGGATCAAGGCCAAGCTCCCCTGAGACTGCGCCTCCCGCAGCGGCTTCCGGGGCGCCAGGGCCCTCACTGCGCTCTTTGTGAGGGAACCTGCTACCCCGGAAGGCGGCCCGGCAGCCCTCTGTCACATGACAGCAGATAAAACCCTGGCTGCCGGGGAGCTGGTCTTCCCGGGGCTCCGTGTGGGGCCGAGGCCGCGGTGGCGGTGGCGGGCGGCGATGGTGGCATCACCTCCCCTGCTGTCCTTCCCACGGGCGGCCGGTGTAAGCGGGCCCACCTCAGGGCCTGAAGGCCGAGCGCCAACACCTTGGTCAGATTTCCCCGAACAACCATCGTTCAACCCAGGGATGCCGATGCCCTGGTTCCGTCACTAACATCTTCTCGGCCGCGTCTGCGTTTCCACCAGGTCAGATCAGCGGGTCCTGCCTTCTAACCTCTTCCACCCAAGCAACAAGAAGCCCCGAGGCTGCCCAAGCCACCGTCCCCCCATCTCCCTACCCCCCAACGAGGCCCTGACGCCACAGCTCACAGGACCCCGGCTCCCGCCTGAATGCCCGCGGGCTCGGCTCCCCTGCTCGCCACGCTTCCCTTGGCCCCACCCACTGACAGTTACGCTCCCTTAAACAGGTGCCGAGGCCTCTGGAGGACTGACCGCCTGACCTGAAAGGGACGCCCAGCAGTTAGGCCACCTCTTGTTCGAGAGGCAGCCAAATCAAGGGCACCCAGGAAGCAGCAGCCGCTACCAGGCCACCTGCGACTTGGCGCCCCATGTGCTGACCGGCCCGGCTGGGTGAGGGCAGGGACGCTGGCACGGGCGCCAGGACCGTGCCCCCTGCCTATGCACCTGTGACAGCAGAGCAGCAGTCCACGCGAGGACCCGCTCTGTGAAGCCACCTGTTCTACAACTGAAACACAAAACCCAAAGGTGGCCGTGGCCCCTCCAGCTTCCGTTTGCCAAACGACACGAGAAACATCCCCTATGGGTCATCCTCTGCCTTTTGTTGGTAGAAACCAGCTGCCTGGGGAGCAGCCCAGGGAAGGCTGGCGCTCAGGAGCATGACCAGGGTGACCGCAGCTCCCCACACACAGCCTGACGCAGCCCATGGACTCGGGAGGTGGGACGGAGGGCCACAGAGGACACACAACATGCAGCACAGACACGCGCCAGCTTATGCCAGCCCAGGGCGCGTGGCCGCCGGGCAAGTGCGCCCCCCGGCGCTATTTTAATGGCCAGGAGGAAAGGCGACCCATCCACACAATGACATGAACGCCAAGAGTCTTAGTCAGAGGCTGGACCGACTGACCACTGTCCGTGAATCTGTCTCGAGCTGCTCACCCCCTCGCCCACCTGGCTGGCTTTTGGAGGCTGATTCCCCCTCCATCGCGGACCAGGGAGCCTCAGGCCTCCATGCTGGCCAGCGGGCCCGGGCGCATGCTCAGCTCCTGCCGGAGGCTGTGGCCTAACCTTCCAGAGCCCAGGACACGTTCGGCGGAGGGACCCCAGCACATGGAGCCCCTCGCCTACCCCTTGCTTGCGAAACCAGCCTTTTCTGAACTGGCACCTTCTAGGCAACTTTGAACTAATTAAGGGTTTAATTTATTATTGTTCTTAATTTTACTAACACACTTGACTTCATTTCACACTCAAACTCCACGCAACGCCAAGCAAGGGGCAACTACCAACAGTGACCGCCTGGAGCTGGGAGAGAGTGAGAGCTGGACGCCCACGTCGGGGCAACTGCAGCACCTCCTAGTGCGAACATATGCACGCCCGACGGCCGTCCTAGGAGCACCAGACCGCAGCGCGGGGCACACGACAAAAACGTGTCCCTCTGTCCCCAGACACGCGCACGTGCGCTTCGGAACATTGAGCGTCAACAGGACGAGTGAACGGGGGGCCCCACAGTGGATGCGGGACCAACAGGAGAGGCAACCACTCACAAGGTGACCCCGCACCGCACACACAGCGCAGCGAGCTGACACACGCAAACGCGCTGTGGTTCCATCGGGACGGCGGCCCTCGAGAGGGAGGGGCCTGAGGAGCATGAGGGTTCCCAGGGTCTGTTCCCCTTCGCTCCCCTTTCCAGGCCGTGGCCGAAGAGTCTGCATCCACCCAGGAAGCAGTCCCCGGGCATTTAAACCTACAGGAGGACGGCTATTAGAGCCACACAGAACACGCCAGACACACTGCTCCCCGAGGGGAAATGCAGGGGACGGAAAAGCTGGAATTAAAAGGACACTTCAGTTCTAATGATGTTGGCAGTTAAGTTGAAAGAATTGTGAGTTCAACTTTCAAGGTTAAAATGTGGTGAAGAGTTGCCAACTCGAAAAGGCTCCCATAAGGGGACAAGTTGAGGATCAAAAAGAATAATGCCCACAACAGACTGAAACACATAAAACCCACAACACTAAAAACATACACACACAATGCAAAACCCCTGACGGGTCCTCTTAGGAGATGGGGGGGGCGGGGGGAGTAGCTCTTCCTTCAAATACCTGACAAAGGGAGAGAATGAGGCGTTTGCCCAGAATTTCCTGTAAGGACCGAGTTCCAGGATAATGAACGATAAAGAAAGGTTTTTGGTTTTTTAAATAAAAGAATTGCCGCTAAGAAGTGCAGAAGGAACCACCACTAGAAGCCTCGCCATGCTGCGACCCCACGACCTGGAAGCGCCCGTGAGGCCAGCGCGGGGCAGCTCAGCCCAACAGCCCGGCGCCAGGTCCGATCTCACTGTCACTAGCAGCCTCACCGACATCACAGGCCAGTGCCAGCCCCGTGCGGGAGGGGGGGGCACGGACACACAGCACAACCAGGCAAACGCGCGAACGGCACCACAGAAAGAAAGAAGAAAAGAAGGGGGAACTGCTAACAGATCTGAGAACTGTCAGCAGATGGAGGCCCTGGACTTGTCTGCACACCGAGTCCAACAGGAAGCATTCAGACGGCAATGACAGTAGGAACCTGAGCCCCTTTCCTGTGTGATGGTGGGTTATGTTACAGATAAGGTTTCCGGTGGCTAGAGATACGGAAAGGGAGGAGGAACCCCTAAAACGTCGGAAACTGTGAGGCAGCCCAGAGGTGCTGGGGGTCCTCACGCTCCGCTCTGCTTGTGTCTACAGCTGAACGGCTCCCGACGAAACGTTAAAAATGGCGGAAGGTGATGGTTGAGAGAGCTGGGTCAGAGTTCACTGTACCATTCTTTGTGTTTGTCTAGTTTTAAAAACGTCTTTAAGTTTAAAAAAAAGCGTAGACAATCCAAAGATGCAGGTAAGGCACTCGGGGACACACCGGCCGCCCAGGCCGACCTGCCTGGAGAAAGGCATCATGCCAGAGACTCTGGGGGCACATGGCAGGCCTGAGGTACCATGGCTACAACGCCCCATCTCCTGGGCGACCATTTCCTGCGGGCAGAGCCTCCTCTCACCTGGCTGGGGTGGGTGGGGCGGCGGCATCTGGTGCTGCATCAGAGGGTAGGGCGGGGGCTGCTGGTGAGGCAGCATGCCGGGGTGCCCTGCTGCTCCCAGCGGCGCCAGGCCCGCGCCCCCCGGGTGCTGGTGGCCCTGTGCAGGGTTCTGCCCGTGCTGCTGCTCCATTTGCTGGCGGGCTCGCAACTCTGCGTATTTCAGCTGCTCCATGTGGAAGCTCTGGCGCTCAGTGAGCAGCTGCTGCCTCTGCTGCTCCAACTGTTAGGGAAGGGAGGGGAAGAGAAATGACATCAGAAGAGGGTCTCGGGAATGGGGACACACAGGGCACCCCCTGGCCCCCGAGTCCCCCCACAACGTCCAGAGAGGAAGAGCAGGGTTTCTCGGGGAGCACGTTTCCCTGCGGACACCGGTCCCGGGGTCCAAGGCCTTCTCCGAGTTGGGTACAGGCCTGCCTTTCCTCAGGCCTTCGCCAGTGGGGCTCTCGCTCTCTGGGCCCGATCAGGACACGCGCCACCCGCCCGATAGGCCTCGGGTGGTAACAAACCCCCACACCTGCCTCAGCCTCCCCAGCAGGGAAAGCCCCTCCTGCCCTCTCCATGGCCCCCGAGGTTAAGCCCCCCAGCTCCCGGGTGCTCTCTCCTGGACGAGACCCTTCGAGTCCCTGACTTAGAAGGTGACACAGAGCAACCCTTCTGAGGGTGTGGAGGGCCCTGGTGCACAGCTCAGCCCTCCCGGACGAGGCGCATGCCGTGGCTCAGTCACGGCGCATCCAGAAGTCCGCATAAGCGTGTGCGCGCATCTTGGTTTGAAGAACATGAGCATTTCAATATTCAAGATAATCTTTCTGAGGCCCAAATTAAAATTCACAGGAAAACAGTTATTATATGTGCCAAGAAATTCAGAAGCCACACGCCTGACAGTTCAGAGAATGGAATGCTCTCAAAATTAATTTAATTCAGGGCTGAAAAAGAAAACCAGCTGGAAAAGGAAGGTAAAAATTCCGATTGCTGGGATTGAGGAGCACGAGGAGCATAAGGAGGGTGAACAGGCCTGTTTCTTTCAATAACGTCCCCCTGACCCTTTAGGAGCGAATCCGAGTCCCGGGAGGCCTTTCCGGCTCTGCGGTCCAGCACAGGACAGCCGCTCCTGCGCCCCTGGGGCCCGGCTCAGGGGGTGAGAGGTGCTAGCGTACGGCGTACGCACTGGACTTTAAAGACTTTGTTCTAAGAAGTTAACTCTTCATGTTGATCCCATGGCTCCCACTATGTGCCTGCTGGCCGGCATCAGCCCAGGAAAGAGCACCGCAGCCGAGAGCGGCCCACAGCGCCTGCTCTAACCATGGGCACAACGCGACGGAAGGTGCGTGAGAACCAGCCCACGAGTCTGGTTTTTGGCAGGAAGTGCCTGAGACACTGAGTGAGGAGCATCGCGGGGCATCAGGGTGGCAGCCAGGGAGGCGCACGGATGGGTGGGGGCAGGAAGACAGGCTGTGGGCAGCGTGCGGTCGCACAGCCAGGGGATGCGGAGGTGGAGAGATGGTCGGCTTCTGTCCTGGGTGCTGGTGAACTGGCTTTCAGGGAGTGGGAAGAGCTTCCGAGACACGATTTCCTGAGTGTGAGGTTCCCAGGAGGGAGGAGGAGGGGTGCTAATGGTCCTAACAGGCCGGCGGACGCTGCCTTTTCTAGGGAGGGCAACCCCGTGGCCCGGACCTGCCCCCGTGTGCAGGAGGAGGAGGAGGGGTGGCAAGCTGTGAACAGCAGAGCATCCTGGGGAGGCCGAGCTCCAGCAGGAAGACTCATCGGTGAGACGGCGTCCGGAAGAGGCAGACGGGTAAAAACGGGATTTAAAGATTCGCGCCACAGACCTGGGCTCTGCTCTCTTCTAGCCGTTCTTTCTAGGAAACGTAGGGCTCTGCTGAGGCTGCACTTGAAGAGGCTGCCAGGAAAGGCCCTCCTACCTGTGCTCCCGCTGAGCCCTCGTCTGCACAGCTGGGCTCAGGCCCTGCATCAGGTAAGAGCTGGACCTCAGGGCGAGACCAGCTGCACGACGATGCTGCAGTCACTGGAGGGAGAGCCGGGGTCTCTGAAGGGAATTTTAGCCTCTGCATCACCTATCTTAGCGGTTTGTCTTTTTAAAATTTGTTTGTTTTTAACTGAACCAGCCTTTCTTTGGGAGCTGACCTTAATATCAAGATATTCACCCAGGGGAAATATTGTCCCAATTCCTTGCCTACAAAGGAACTAACCTTAATTATACTATTTCTTCATGAGTTTCTTTTGTCATTTCAAAGCAGAGAAGGTAACTAAGAGAAAGTAATTAGAAGAATTAAAAAGGATGAGTGATTAAACACACACACCCTGGAAGAGAACCCAGTTCAAGCTTAAGCTCCACTGGGACAAAGGGGTCCCAGAAGCCGAGAGCGGCGCCCAGAGAGCAGCCCAGGGGCACAGCTCTGCCTGGGGCTCCCAGCAGAGCCACGGACACGTCCGGCTCCTGCAGGAACACATCCCTGGCGTGGACACCTCGTCCTGCTGAATGAGCTGAAGCCTGCACTCACGTCTGTGGCAATCGGAGAGCACGTGAACTGGAATTTTTTAGAACAGTTACTGTACTGAGCAAGTTTTTATTTTTAAAAAATTTTTAATATGTTTTTATTGATGTCAGAGAGGAAGGGACAGGGAGAGTGAGAGAGAGAAACATCAATGATGAGAGAATCATGGATCGGCTGCCTCCTGCACGCCCCCTTCTGGGGATCAAGCCCACAACCCGGGCCTGTGCCCTTGACCAGTATGGAACCCAGGACCCTTCAGTCTGTAGGTCGACACTGAGCAAGTTTAAAATTCCCTTAACCAACAACCTAGTGATTCTACATCTGAACTCTGTCCTAAAAAATAATGTGTGCATAAAGTCGGGCATTGAAGTATTGTTTTTGAAGGACAGTTATTTCTAAGATACACGGGGGGAAAAAACCCAAACCAAACAAGCTGCAACAACATTTAAACACAATCTCAATTACATTAAAAAAAACAACAGCTTTGTGTCCAGGTCTGACCCTGCTCTAGCCACACGGACCGTGTTCTGGAGAACACCAGTCAGAGCGAATATTCCCAGGAACAGAACGAGGGCAGGAGAGACGGTGATTTATCCATTTCTTTCCTATTTGAAAAATTTTTCGCACACACACTATTTTGGTGACCAAAAGACAACATGCTGACAGCTGCCAAGTGACATGCCTCAGACATCTCAGTCTCCTCGCTCCCTTCCCACTTCTTGGGTGGAGGCTGAAGTCCCAGTAGCTGAACGGACAGTGCGAATTGCTCCCCCAAACCTCTGCATGGCTACACTCTGGCTCGAGGACCCGGCTGCACACAGCTGCCTGTGCTGGCTCCAAGGCACATCCGACAACACACCCAAACCCCTCCCCCACGGGGTCCAAGCGGAGCCCAGTACAGAGCACCTTTCTGCACAGGGCCAAACCCAGACACAGCTGCAAGCGCAGCTGAAGTTCACACAGAGTCCCTCTCCCAGCCTCATCTGCATAAAAGGGGGGTCGGGGGAGGGAAGGAGTAAGAGAAGGTGTGTGGGGGCACCCACAAAATCCACCCACACTGTCAAGAACTGGAATATCGGCGGAGACGTGAAGCCCCCACGACATGGCTCAGAACTGAAGTAAACAGTCACCCCTGTGCTAAAAGGTCTGGGGCCAGTGACCAGCCCTCCACTGCAGTGACCAAGTCCAGACAGACACCGTTCCTCCCTCCACCGAGGAGCCAGCACAGCGGCCTCCGCTCCGGGCGCTGCAGGCAGACGGGGAGGCGCCCGTCACCGTCCCTCGGGGGCGTTTTCATTCAGAACTAAACCTGCTGCCGTCCACTCCTATCTCCGAGGCACCCCTCGGCGTGAGGGTGCACGGCAGGCAGCACAGGGCTGAGCTACCACCAACACCACAGACCAGCGAGGCCCGCGTCTCCTGCGCAGGATGCACTCACGTGTGGACTTTGTTCTTTCTTCTTGAATTTGTCATAAAGTGCAACCAACTCTCCTAACCCCACATCCTGCAGGTGTGCCAACAGCTACTAGCAACACCTTTAAACTGCCCAGAGCTTGACCGTTTCATCACTCGGCCGCCGTCCTGCAGCCGCCACCACACGGGCTGCCAGAGTGCTCCTCCCTCCGGTGGCCAACCCGTCTCTACGGCACAGCAGGCGGCGTGTCCCTGCTGCACAGCGAGGAGATGGCGCTGGGCCTCGGCATGAGCCGTTCTCCTGGCTGCGCAGACCGAGTCGAGGAGGTGGGAAGGCCCTGGATGGCCTGCAGGAAGCTCCGTGCCTGGGTCAGCACCCCCGGCTCTCCCCTTCTCAGCTCCTGCTCGTTCCTGCTCCAGCCCCCACGCACTCCCAGCTCCCAAACGTGCCGTCGCCTGTCGCTTCCGGCCTCGGCCTCTGCCGCTTCCTGTGCTGAGAAGCACTGCCCACCCGGCCAGGTCTCAATAGGCCACTCAGATGCCAACACTTAAAACTCAGATCCCGCCCCACCCTCCCCCACTACCCCCAGCAGCCTGTGACAAACAGCCGTGTGCACACGCACGCATCACACACACGCCCACCTCACTATCTGCGCTGCACCAGGCAGAGCGGCGTTGGGCTGGCTCCGCCGGGTCCCCAGCACCGCAGGCCACGACAGGTGGGTGCTCACTCAGCACTGGCCGCAAGAGCCAAGGAACTAAGCCCAGCACCCAGGCCACAGCAGCTCTGGGCAGCTGGCTCACCCCCAGCCATCACGCCTTCCCGCCACGGCGCGGGCCTGGGGCCTTTCTCCCCGCAGCTCAGCCCCTCCTCCACAGGAAGCCGCCCTGACCGTCTCACACACGGCCTCCTCCCCTCTGACTCCCAGCCCTGCTCCCGCAGAGCACGTGGCCTGTGTCAGGGTCTCACCCAGCCTCCAGCCCTGACAGACAGGCTGGGTGCCCCCAGCTGTGTCCTCCATGTCGGTGTCTGAAGGTGTACAATTCCCACAGCCAACAGCCTTCAGAGGCCCAGAGAGCGATACCTAGAGCGGCTCACAGATCCGCTCACTGGCCGCAAACTGGCCGGCAGGGCCCGGCCCCGGCACAGCCCACACTCGCCCAGGCTTCCTCCAATGCCTCTCCCCGTCGCCAGGCGGTCCTTTCTGTCCAAGGAGCTGAGCTCACTGTGCTGTCATCCGTCAGGAGCTAAACTAGGCCCAACAGGACTTCCCCAGCGTCCCAGCTCCACTGACTGGGATGCTGGCATTCCTTCATTCAGCCGACAGTTACACAGGGGGCTGTGATGGGCCAGGTCTGTGCTTACAGAGACACTTGGTGAATTCTGCCCTCAAAGTGTCCCTTTGGTACAATGCAGTGAGTGCTGTTAGGTTCCATGGCAGCAAGTGGGGAGGGCCTGACATTCATGGGTGCAGGGCCGAGGGAGCCTGCACGTGAGGGGGCATGGCTGGCACCCAGGGGGTGGGGGTCAGATGGGGTGGTCAGCAGCCTAGGAGGAGAGGGCCAGTGATGTGGGGGACGCTTCCAAGGCCAGGGAACTGGGGGTGGGACGTGCAGGGTGTGGGCAGGGGAGCTCCAGAGCGGCCTCCCGGTGCTCACAGGGCCAGAATGCCTGCCTACGAGCAGAGCTGGTGGTGGGACAGACATAACAATGAGCCAGCACTAAGGGACAGCTTAACAAATATAAGCAGATCCTTAACATTAAAACTCTTCTCATCTTCAGATTCTACCATTCAGCTCTAACCGGTTTGGCTCAGTGGATGGAGCGTCAGCCTGCGGACTGAAGGGTCCCAGGTTCGATTCCGGTCAAGGGCATGTACCTTGGTTGCAGGCACATCCCCAGTGGGGAGTGTGCAGGAGGCAGCTGATCGATGTTTCTCTCTCATCGATGTTTCTAACTCTCTATCCCTCTCCCTTCCTCTCTGTAAAAAACCAATAATATATATATATATATATATATAATTCTACCATTCTGAGACACCTATGTCTCATATACAGACAAAAAAGTCAAAGTAACAAAAAAGCATCATCCTAACTAACCCCCACCTTAGCCCATCCCTCAGAGTCACCCCGTCCTCTTGTCAACTCATTAAAGGAATGTCCTCCAACGACCTGAATCCCTGTTTCCCCACAACTTCCCGGCGACGCCAAGTGCTCCCCTGCCCGTTTTCCATGATGCACACGCTCCCTTCCCCGTCCTCGGCCCTTTTCGTCCTTCTCCTGGTCCTGTTTGGGCCACGTCCAAATAGGAAAAGTGTCAGGTCAGAGACTGCTGTGTAGGGTCAGCATGGATGACTGACCCGCCTCCTCCTCCCCTCTCCCCCCCCCCCTCCCCCAGAGGAGGGAGGGGACTGAGCGGGGGCGGGTCTGAGGAGGGTTTGGTAAAAGGGTTGGAAGCGAACAGGTCAAGGGGACAGGGACTCAAGAGAAGCCTTGAACCAGGTAACAAGCAGGCAAGTCAGTCTGGGGGCCTGAAGCCCCCGGGGCCTGGGGTGTAGAACGCAGTTCAGGATGTGGGAGCTCCCTCCCCGCTGCCGAGACCGCCCAGGAGGGCAGAGCAAGTTCCAGGCCGGCAGCCGGCAGCCGAGGCTGAGGGGCACCTGCGCTGAGGACAGGCGGGGTTCAGCGGCCCGAAGCCCCCGAAAGGCACTCACGGCCTCCTTCTCTCGGTCCATGATCGTCTCCAGCTCCTCGAAGTGCCGCAGCTTGATCTCCAGCTTCTTCATCTGCGTCTCGACCAGGAGCGCCACCAGGGACTTGATCTTCCTCTCCTCCACTGCAGCCAGGTGCTAAGCACAGAGCAGTCACATGATTACACAGCTGCTTAGGCAGCGGTTCTCAACCTGTGGGTCGCGACCCCTTTGGTGGTCGAACGACCCTTTCACAGGGGTCGCCTAAGACCATCCTGCGTATCAGATGTTTACATGACGATTCATAACAGCAGCAACATGACAGTGATGAAGTAGCCACGAAGATAATGTTATGGTTGGGGGTCACCACATGAGGAGCTGTATTCAAAGGGCCAGAAGGTTGAGAACCGCTGGCTTAGAGAGGAACATGGGCTGAAGCAGCTATTCCTGCAACGTGGGGATCGTGTCATTTAAATGGGGCCCTTCACGCCCCTCTGCATGTTTCTACCGAACATTTACCTCAAGTTAAACCAGCCCTTACACAGGGAAGGAAACCCGTGCCCATCAAGGAGCAGAGGCTGAACCAGGGCCCTGATGGACAAAGAGGAGGACACGGTGGCCGGGCGGCACGTCCATTTATCACCCCGCACCTCCCACCCTCACCCTACAGCCTGCCCCTCCCTGTGAGCTGCACGGGCAGGGCGGCAGGGCAGCACCACTCGGCATCCCCTTGCGTCAAATCTGCTAAACCTCCGGCGCCGCCCGCTGCTCCGCCAGGTTTTGGGAAGCGACGGAGGGGCTACCGTGCTCTGTGTTTCTCGCAGGGTCTGGACGGAGCCGCAGGCAGGAGGGCTAACTATATGTAGGCTTGGGGGCAAAAGTGAGGGACAATATTTAAAAGAGTCATTTTCCCTTTTCACTGCTGAAAAAGGGAGGCTTCCGGAACTCATCGACAGCTATTAAGGCCTGCCTCCCTCACAGCCTTGCGTCACACCGATACCACCACCAGCTCACGGGAAGGTGACCAGACTCCCAGCGGCGTGAGGGACGTGCTGCCGCGTGTGACTCTGAATGAAAAACGCACGCACGTGACGCAGACCGGAAAGCTCACCAGGCGCCCAAGAGCGGCGTCTCCCGCTCACTGCGCTGCCTCCTCGGAGGGACCCGTGGACCAGGTTCTAGATGTTTCCATGAGCCTGGGGCTCCTAGACTTCTGCTGGCTTTGGCAGGAAATGTTCCATCTTCTTGAGAATTATGCAGGAATGTGGGAACCTCCCCAACCAGTAGGAAATAAGGAGCACGAAATTTCAAAACAGAAAGGACCATCAAGTAACAAGAAACATGAAGAAGAGACCACAGCCTGAACTATCGAGGCCCTAAGTGAAGGACGTGACTCTAACCACCGCGCTGTACCCCTGAAGTGCAGGCACATCACATCGGATGTCGACTGTCATTGAAAAATACAATTTAAAAAGTTAGTATCAGAAAATGATAAAAATAAAAGACCCACAGCAAGGGACAACTTTGGAAATGTAAGAACATGAGACAACGTGAGAATCCTCAACGAGTTCAAGATCATTATGTTTAAGAAAATGTAGAAAATATGGGTAAAACAGAATTTCGACAGATTTAGAATATGTGTGTGTGTGAATAATTGGCTAGAATATATACTAAATGGAAAAATAACTCAATGATGAAGTTTAAAAGCAGGAGACTTGACGAGCGAAGTGAAAGGCTGACAAAGCTATTCCAGCTGCAGCAGAGTGAAAAGAATCAAAAGGAAACCAGAACCAAAGGTAGGAGACGTGCACACCTGGCAAAAGGTGTAACGTTTACGTAAATGGAATCACAAGAAAGGCTAGAAAATGAGAGAGAATCAACAAAGAGATCATGGGTATAAGAGAAACCTATGTAATTTTATTAACTAATCTCATCCCAATCAATTAAAAACAAAGAGAGATACTGGGGTGAGAATTTCCCACAATAGATGAAACAAATCAACTGAGATATTCGAGAAGCTTAACAATTCCCAAGGAGAGAAAATACAATAAAAATCATCTTAAAGTACAACCCAGTCAGAGAAATAAAAACAAAAAAGAATCTTAAAAGTATGGACTGGAAAGAGCACATGACCCTCAATGAGCTCAGGGCGTGGCACAAAGGCCCCGGCCGGCTCAGGGGAGTTCCAACAGGAAGCGGCATTTGGTTAAACGTTGGGGAAAACGAACTGCCTTGGCCCTCTACCCACTGAACATACACTTCAAACATGAAGGTGAAATCAAGTCCTTTTAAGAGAAACAAAAGTCAAGGCTGCACAGCAAAGCGTTCTGAAAAGAGCTCTTTAAACAGGAGGGACCTACTCCATGAAAGGAAACACTGAAATGGAGAAAGGCACTGAGCGGCAGTCAACAGAATTATGTTCTCCCATTAAAGCAGCAGAAGAATTGAGATTAAACTGCAAAAGTCAAGAATGCATCATGCAATCATTAGAAAAAACACACTAAAATAACAAAAGTATATGTAATTACCAAGATCGCAAAAGAGAAAAAAGAATTAAAATATTGGATTAATTAAAAACAAAATTTCACACTGGAGGAAATCGGTAAGTAGTACACAGGATGACTATAATAATGTTTTTGCAACGTCTCTGAGTCTATAGTTATTTTCAAAAAGCGGGGGAGGGGAAGCCTGCCAAGATGACACAGTGTCAGGCGGCAGGAGGGGCTGAGGCCGGGTCCGCAGGCTCCACAGGGACCTGAGTGTGTGGAGGGAGACACTGAACCAGTGGCTGTCCAGGCACATGTTACTCTGCTGCCACATGCAGCCAGGGTGGCGAGAATCTACATTAGTCCGTGATTAGGGTTTTAAAATGCTCTTTAAGAGTTCTACGCACTCCTACACCAGTGGTTCTCAACCTGTGGGTCTCGACGCCTTTGGTGGTCGAACGACCCTTTCACAGGGGTCGCCTAAGACCATCCTGCATGTCAGATACTTACATGACGATTCATCACAGTAGCCACATGACAGTTATGAAGGAGCAACGAAAATAATTTTATGGTTGGGTCACAACATGAGGAACTGTATTTAAAGGGCCAAAAGGTTGAGAACCACTGTCCTACACTGAGCTCTGACACTGACACCCTGTGAATTCCATGTCTGTCCTGCAGGCTGTGCAGCACAGAGTTAGTAGGAAGGGCAGAGGTGAAGCTGGACTGCTTACTGCCAGTATAACCACGGCTTCGCTATCCCCTGCCTCTGACTTCCATCTGTGACCTGGAAACAACGGTACCCACAGGACAGATGTGAGGACCGAGCACAGTGCCGGCCGGACACAGCGGTGCGGACCCTAAGCCGTGACCCCGTGCCGCCTGGAGCCTTTGGAAGCCCCGCCTCCACCTATGGCCACTTCAGCACGTCTCCAGGCCAAACTGGAGATGCTAAACAGGCACCAGAACCACCCCAGCCCAAGCACAGGGAGTAGTCATCGGTGTGGGTAGTAACATCTGGGTTTGAGTGGAAACAGGAGGGAAAGCGCATGTTGCACATCACATTTGGCTTTTTTTTTATAATATATTTTATTGATTTTTTACAGAGAGGAGGGGAGAGGGATAGAGAGTTAGAAACATCGATGAGAGAGAAACATCATGGGGGATGTTTCTGGGGATGTGCCCTTGACCAGAATCGAACCTGGGACCCTTGAGTCCGCAGGCCGATGCTCTATCCACTGAGCCACACCAGTCAGGGCACATTTGGCTTTTTCACTCTTCAGTTCCTAGAAACGATTCTGACCGTCTTTGAACACGTGTCAAACCCGACGATGGCTCCGCTCATCCGGGAAGCGGCCAGCTCCTGTGCTGTCCCCTGGAATCTGCTGTGATGAACTTGGGAACATGCCAGGCCTGTCTCCTGTGCTGCCACAGCTGGAGGAAGAGCCTCTTGTTCACGAAACTTCCCGACTCTTCACAGTTTTACTGGTAAGAGATTCTCATCTGAGAGAAGGCACCACAGTCATTCCTCTCCTCGAGCAGCACACGCCCTGCTCCAGGGCTAAGAAGTTCTGCTAATTGATGGATCTGGTGACCCACACGCACCAAGTCGATCCGGCAGAAATAGAGGCCTAGAAGCCGATCCTCACGGGGCCTCCAGCGACTGCATGGCACCAAGCACTGGGCCAAAATCGTTAACCTCACGTCTGCTCAGGGGAAACCTTAGAGGACAGTGAGACACCTAACTGTGGGCACACATCACGGGGCCAGAGGGAGCCACCAGGTCACCAAGCACGTGTTTCCTGCAGACGCCATGTGTGCTGTCACCTGGCATTTCCATGCTGCTGCTACTTCTGATAACCTGCCGAGACACAGTCCCCAGCTTACACAGCTTCGAGCGAGGCTCAGAGAGCCAAGTGCCTCGCCCAGGGGGTGTGCTGAGGAGCGCCTGGAGGAAGGGCGGGCGGTGAGGAAGGTGGCGCGCGGGGCCAGGGCTGGCTGGCTGAGCTTATAAGGCAGTTGGGTGTAGCTGCCTCCTTCTTATCCCGGTTGTTGTTGTTTGGCTCTTAAAGATGAGAAACTAAGCCACGACTGGCGCCGAGGCGCTTAAAAAGGACAGGCGCCTTTAGAGCGAGCTGCTGGGTGTTGGCTGAGACTCTGGGAGCATCTTCAGCCAGGAGAGCTTCACAGATGATGGCCCGGGGCTAGCTGCGATCACCAGGCCCCGGCCAGGAGGTCGGGTCTGGTTCTGGAGCTGCTCCGGGCCTGGATTGAGCTGAGACCTGACCGCAGCCTGAGCCTCCCACTCCAGACAAGGAGATGCTGCCTTTGCAGGGGGTGATGGCAGCTGTGGTGGGCGAGGTGTCGCCCTCCGTCTAGGGTGGCCTTTGCTGTCCTCGCCTTGAATTTGGACAGAACCTTTGACCATTCGGGTGGGGAAACATTATGCAGCGTCAGGGAGGGGGTCCAAGCCACAGGACACCGGCAGTTCTCCTTCCTGTTGCGGGGCTGCTTTCTCTTGGTTCTAAGCTGCCATGTAGAAGTCCAACCATCTGCTACCCCCCGCACACAAAGCAGCCAGCTGACTGCTGAGCCGGCCTGTGTGGACAGCCATGCAGCCAGCCAGGGGTCTCGGCTCCGGGCACACACGTGGCATCATCGGGCCTTCACAGCAGCCCCGCCAGGAGGGTGATACTCAGTGACCCGCCCATGGCACACGGAGCAGGATCTTCCCAGCAGAGCCTGCCCGAGTCTCACCTGTGAAACCATGAGGCACAAGTATGGTCTCAAGCCACCAGGTTGTACAGCAGCCACACAGCAGGGACACGGCTGGGGCTCGGGCTGTAGATTCTGGGGGTCTGGCAGCTGTGGCAAGCAGAGCCTCCCAAACTAAGGGCTGGAGAGCATCCCGCCCCCCCCCCGCCCCCGGCCTCACAGATCGGCTTCACAAGGCCTAGGAGGAGTGGTGAGGCCTCAGAGTGGGCACAGAGGTGTGGAATGAAGGAGAATCAGCCCATAAATAGTCAAGGATAAGAAAAAAGGGGACGTTCCGGTGCAGACGGCAGCACAGGAAGAAAGGAAGAAGTAACTTGGTGGGAAGAGGTCAGGTCAGCGTCACCTAAAGCAGATTCCACCTGGTGTCACAGGGGCTTCTATTCGTCACGGAAGGTGAGAGCCAGCATGCGAACTGTGACAGTTCCTCCTGTCTTCCAGTGTCACCAGGTAAGAGAAGGCGTCAGCGACAAACGCACGCAGTGTAAACCCACGGCGACCAGTGCTCACCCGGCAAAGCCGTGACTGACGTGGACAGCAAGCATGCGGTTGGCGGGCCGTGGATTTGACAAGCTTGACGTACGGGGAAGGTCTGCCACCTCAAGACAGAACTTGGCACCAGGAAGCAAGCACCAGGCGCTTCTGAGGAGCAAGAGCGCCTCTTCCTGCTGTTCCAGAGCGAACGAACACCCAGCGGCCGAGAAGACAAGCCTACACGGTCGCTTCGGGGACGGGGCAGGGTGGGCAGAACAGTCTGAAGGAAATGTCTGGGTCTCTGCATCTTGGGAGAACGGATCCTGCAGCTGCTGGAAAAAGACAGCATGTTCCGGTTCCTGCAGGGTCCAGTTTAACCCGGCAATAGTTCTGACCCCTCCCTTCCAGCCAAACCTAAACACCCAGACGGGAGGGACCCAGAGCACCAGCCTGAGGTCCTTCTCGCAGCCCCCAGCCTCTCACTGGCCCTCCGCGTGTTCTGGAGCTCGATCCAGAGCCTCTAATGGCCACTCCAGGCCAGACAGTGACAAACAATTAAATTCTGTCACGGAAAACCCTCAGTAACAAAGCTGTTACAGACACAGGAGGAGGCGAGAGTAACAGGGTGCGTGGCTAGAGGCCGCCGATCACAGCGATCTGAGGGCGTCCTTCCCCGCGTTCCCTGGCGCCCGAGAGGCTGCTGGCGGCGAGCTGCCAGGCCCAGCGCACGAGCCTCATCGCTTCCCAGGTCGGGGAGCAGGTGCTGGAGAACAGAACCCAAGTCCCCGCTCCGCTCCGGGAAGCAAGCGAGTGCCTGGGAAGAGGAGGCTCTGGGGCGGCCTCCCCTGCCGGGCCTCTGCCGGGCACGCTCTCTGCGAGGGAGGAGTCACGCTGTGGAAGGAGGTCGGTCGTGCACAGCACACAGCTCCTGCCCAGAGCCGCACAGTCAGAGCTATGAGGCCATCGCGTTTCATCAGCCATGAAACACCATGACGTGTCCTCAACGGGTTTATGGGAATCCCCCACTGCAGCTCCTTCTCCGCCACCTGCAGCGAGCGTGCCCGGCGGCACAGAGAGGAGAGCCGCCTCCGAGAGGGGGAGAGTGGCCAGGGAGCCCAGCTGGAGGGGAGAGGCTGGGTGGGTCTGTCTAGAACTGCAAGGAACCTGTCAGGACGACAGGCGAGAAATGACGCTTGAGAGCTGGGAAGGGTCCTGAGCACGAAAACTCCTAAACTCCAGGCCAAAGGGTGTGAGATTCTGGCCTGGGCGGGGCAGGGAGGTGACTGAATACCCGTGACCCAGGTTCTTGTGCTTCCTGCCCGAGCCCATTTAGAGGAGGAGGACTCGGCGGAGACACACGGAGAAGTGGTGTGGCACCCGGTGGCCTGGGGACTGCAGCCCGTGAGTCTCTGCCAGGGAGGAAGGCTCAGGACGGCCCGACCTGGCATCTGCCAGGACTGCTCTCCACTCGGTCACCTGCCACGCACGGAGACTCCCTGGGGGGAACTGGAAGGGGAAGGTGTCTTAAAATGACATGTGCGTGCGGGGAATGTCTTAAAATGCTAAATTAACACAAAGTGAGGGGAATAACATTCTCGTCGCTTCAAGATGCTGTGAAGCCAATACTGTGTTATAAATAGAGAAAACCACCCCCAGAAAAGCTGGCAAATTCAAGGAGAAAAAGAGCTATTTTAGGTCCCCCACCACCCTCCTTCCAGTCTGTAAGAGCAGGATGAAGTCTTTATACAAGGAAACAGATTTTGCCTTAAAAATCACAATATTTCAATCTGGTAGACATTGGAACCACAGTCCAGTCAAGCTCTGCAGGCAAATTAGAGAGACTGCAAATCCCGCCCTCCACCTGCAGCCTGCTCGGCCGTGGGAAGACACGGTGGCCGCAGGGAAGGCGGTCGGTCGCCACAGGACCAGCCGACCCGCACGCCCCGCCTGCGCAGCTCCTCACCTAGAACACCATGCAAGCACACGGCCCCTGCTCCCGGGTGCGGGGGCTCCTTACACTAGACCGGTGGTTCTCAACCTTCCTAATGCCGCGGCCCTTTAACACAGTTCCTCATGTGGTGACCCCCAACCATAAAGTTATTTTCGTTGCTACTTCATAACCGTAATTTTGCTGCTGTTATGAATCGTCATGTAAATACCTGACATGCAGGATGTATTTTCATTGTTACAAATTGAACATAATTAAAACATAGTGATTCATCACAAAAACAGTAGTTATATATGTGTTTTCCGATGGTCTTAGGCGACCCCTGTGAAAGGGTTGTTCAACCCCCAAAGGGCTCGCGACCCACAGGTTGAGAACCGCTGCACTAGACGAACAGAACACAACACAGCCATTCAGGCGCAAGTGAGCCGGGGGAGGCTGTCGGCAAACCTTGGCTTTGGTGGCAGCTGAGGCGAGAGCAGCTGCGGCGGCCGTGGCTACGTTTCCTTCGGAAATCTCACGTTCTACTTTCTTCTTCCCAATTTCGCTTTCTCTTTCTTTACAAGCATCAGTGAGTTCCTTGTTCTCCTCAGACTCTGTTTCCTCTGGAAGAAATCAGAAGCTGCATCAGTGTGGCCTTTCAATAGCCACCTCACTGCTCACCTCCGCCACTGACCCCCAGGCCTGACGTCACAAAGGGATCTCAGTGCCCTGGAAGATGTCTGCGGGGCTGCTCCAAGCACATAAGTGCGCCTCTATCTGAGGTGGATTTTCTAAACAGGCCCCTCTGTCTTCCCTTCATCTCTCTCAGCTCTGTGTCGTTCCCTTGGACAGAAAGGAAAATTCAGGCAAAATGTCTGTTCATCGGTCAATGAGGTGCTCTCGGCAGGAAATCAGGACCAAGGGCAGCGCTTCCGCCAGCAACTGCTGACGCTGAATGGAGGCCTGTGTGGCGGCCTCGGTGGCCCATCAGCTCGTCTGTGTACATGACTGAGAACACGCGGCCACTGGCATCAGCACCGGCGCTGCCCCAAAGCGAAATGCACGCGGCACATCTACGGTCACGTCAAGAAACAAATCAAAGCCGAAACCGGTTTGGCTCAGTGGATAGAGCGTCGGCTTGCGGACTGAAAGGTCCCAGGTTCGATTCCGGTCAAGGGCATGTACCTGGGTTGCGGGCACATCCCCGGTGGGAGATGTGCAGGAGGCAGCTGATCGATGTTTCTCTCTCATCGATGTTTCTAACTCTCTATCTCTCTCCCTTCCTCTCTGTAAAAAATCAATAAAATAAATTAAAAAAAAAAAAAAGAAACAAATCAAAGCCGAAACCGGTTTGGCTCAGTGGATAGAGCGTCGGCCTGCGGACTGAAGGGTCCCAGGTTCGATTCCGGTCAAGGGCATGTGCCTGGGTTGCGGGCATATCCCCAGTGGGAGATGTGCAGGAGGCAGCTGATCGATGTTTCTCTCTCATCGATGTTTCTAGCTCTCTATCTCTCTCCCTTCCTCTCTGTAAAAAATCAATAAAATATATTTAAAAAAAAAAAAAAAAAAGAAACAAATCAAAATGGGAAGTCGACTCGACACAATTAGACGGCCCACATTTCTCCCCGTTTCCAGTGACAGAATGAAGTCTAAAGCGTTTCCAGTGTTACCTGACTTGATATCCTCACTAACTTCATTATCCTGTTCCTTCTCGCTGCTCTTTTCATTGTCTCCGTCTTGGGCTTTATCACCTTCATCCGTTTCATTTTCCCCTTTGTTTTCTGCCTGAATAGGGTCAAAAAGAAGAGGAGAGGGAGGGGAAGGCCAATGTCAGTGATACTGCCACGGAATAACTAAAGGTTCTGCTATTGCTGACAAGCAGACGAGGTTCAGAAGGGAAAACCTGGGAACCAATTAATAACTTCACAGAAATACGTTTCATGCCTCAACATCTGTGTGCTCACAGGACAACACCCCCAGGGACACGGTCCCTGTCTCGTCTGCTGTGAGGCCACGGCCACAAGGCCCTAAGGAACGTCACAGGAATTCATTTCTATGACTTACTGGCTAAACAGAGAGATACTTATTAAATAAATAATTAAATTGTTGTCCAAAAGGGCCAAGAGCATTGAAAATGCACATAATCAGCCAGGAAGCAGGACGAAATGCTGCCGGAAAGGAGAGCTGACAAAGCCTTTCCACAGCCACTTGCTGGTGGTTTGCAGAAAGAGCCACAGCAGAGCACCAGCGAGCAGTTCCGGGGCCAGCAGCTTCAACTCCTCTGCTGGCATCTGGCATCGCTTGCTGATTCAGAAATCCCTGTGACCCTGGACAAGTAGGTGACATCGTCTGTAAAGTGAAGGACTAGCACTGACTTGATGAGGCTGTTGTAGGAATGAGTTGAACCCGTTATGTACAGTACAAAGCACAGTACTGTAAGAGCCGGAACTAACTTGACTCCCACCCTCTCCTTATCTGCAAACCAGTTAAAACACCGCCTGGGATTAAGGCCCCAAATCCCTCCTGCATCTATTTATTCCAACAGTGATTGGCTGACTGCTCACCATGAGCCCCTGGCCTTGAAGAGGCTGTAGAGTCTGGTGCGCCCAGCTCACTCCGCACTCAGGACCTCGGATGTGAGACGGGGATCGGGTCACGAACACTCTGGGCCCTTTGACTGCCTCCCCTCCCAGGTGGAAATTCGATTCCCTAGCCTCCATTCCATTCTTTCTAGCTCTACCTGCTCTTTAAAATCTACCTCAAATGTCACCTTCTCACCAAGTCTTTTCTAAATATTTTCTTCTGGCAGTTCACTCTCTCAGAAAATCCCAGATATTATATAATTCTCTTCTGGCACAAGGATAGGACTTAAACCCCACAATTCAATATTCTTAAGAACGACAACTCTTATATTCATAGTCCCAGCTGTGCCTGAAAGGGTTGGCACAAAAGAAGAGGTTGGGAGTGGATAAATCTTTGCACGAATAAATGAAAAATGTCCTGTATTATGCTTTGTGAGAACCATACCTTAACCAGCAAAGTCCAAATGCTGACAGTTATTTAGTCTCCTGAGAAGGACTAAGAGATCAGAATAAACGCAAACCGTGATGCTCTGAAAGGCTCCTCTGTGGCTGTTCTATTGGGGAAGAACTCAAACAGAATTCACCTTTTCCGGCTGCTGACCATCAGCTTCTGTTTCCATTTTCTCCTCTTCAGCTCCTTCTACAAACAAAAGAGTAAGAACAAGTAACACAACATAGGAAAAGGGAAAGGCCATCACAGAGCTATGAGAGTGTCGGAGACACTACCCACAGGGCCACGGACGAATCTTACAGCCGCGTGGTCGGCATAAAAAGCCTGACACACAGCAACACACACTTTATGATCTGTTAACTTAAAGGTCAAAAACAGGTGCTAGAGTCAGAGCAGCCGTTAACCAAGGAGGGTGAGACAAGGCAGCCCGGGGGGAGGGGCCCGGGGCTGGGCTGTTTCTTGATCTTGGGGCTGTTTTGCTTGTGAAACGCAATGAGCTGCCCATCGAGGGGCCCAGTCCAAAAATTTTTAGGTAAAATAGGCCCCAAAATGTTGTTTTTATTGAACGGGCATGAGCACAGCACATATCCTATTGGGAGACAGGCGCTGGGGAAGCTGCTGCACGAGGTGCTCTCTGAGCCTGACCAGGCTTTTAACTTTCCAGTTACAGTTCCATTCCATATGGTCTTAACTTCCAGAGTGCAGCACAGCGGTCAGGCTTTACATAACGTGCAAAGTGAGAAAGTACGAAGGCTTCCCAACTTGCCTGTCAGCCTTGCTCAGGGGCCTCACTAATCCTCTCCGCATCGTTCCAATTTCAGTACGTGGGCTGCTGAGGCCAGCACAATTCCAGGACTTTACACAAAAACAAGTACTGCCCACAAGTTACAATAAGACTAACAGCATTTATCCTCAATGAGACTACGTAGATACTTACACCAAGGTTTAATACGGACTAACACTGTTAATCAATAGGGAAATCCCCTTTTTCTAACCCTTGGGAATGAATGAGATCAGATGATCTTGCCTCCAGAGTTCAGGCTGGCTAGGAGCTCCCAGACACAGAGTATTTGGGACACTGAGTCTCACATGAAGCAGAAGAGCTTTTACGGATCACCACCTTGCCCCACATGCCCAAAGCCTGCAATACCAGAGGTGGGATGAAGTATGACAGAAGGAGGGCTGGTCACGTGACAGCTCAGCGCCAGAAAGCCGCGCCCTGGCCCGGCCAGGTGCAGGGCAGGGGCAGGACGCCGGGAGGGCCTTCCACACAGAGCAGCACAGGGAGCCGGTGTGACCTCAGGCCGGCAGCAGCCCTGGGCTCCCAGCAGCAGATCCTCTGCAGGCAGTTTCTCCATCTTAATTTTAGCCAAAGTGACGTCCAAGTGACGAGCTCCCAGAGTGCAAACACCAAGAAAGAAACGCACCAACACGGACACGTTCACCGACAGGTTCGCAATCCAAGGGCACCAACAGGCGGTGCATCAGACCCGACTCTCCAACAGCCGTGGTTCGATGTGTAAGTAAATAAAAGAGAGAATCCCCAAGATCGCTAATCAACAGGAGAATGTGAGATAACCCAAGGTTTAAAACACAATCAGAAGATCCAAGCAGTGTAAACACGGTGGAGGGAGAATGACAAAACTGGAACGCACACCTCAAGAAATGACCATGCACAGGACAAGAGGATGAAACTACGGAAGCACGGAAAGTGAGTCCAGGGAATGGCTGCCTCCCGTGGTATCGGCCAATACAAGGTAAGAACAGAGCGTTATGAAGCCCGGTCGCGTGGCTCAGTGGTTGAGCCTCGACCTTTGAACCAGGGGGCCAGGTCACGGCACATGCCCAAGTTGCAGGCTCGATCCCCAGTGTGGGGCGTGCAGGAGGCAGCTGATCCATGACTCTCTCTCCTCATTGATGTTTCTCTCTCTCTCACACCTCCCCTACCTCTCGGGGGGGTGGGGGTGGAATAGAGCATTGTTAGAAATAGAGTAACAACATAATGAAGGAAAGGTTCAATTCACCAGAGAATCATTAATTTTTGAGACTTTTAAGAACCTAATAAAAGAATGTCAACAGAACGCAGGGAGAAAATGAGAATGTACATCATAGTGGGGGGAGGGGGGTGAAGATACTTCTCTCAATTGCAAGATACAGGCATGTGGACAGAGCACGATGGGGCGCATGCCTATGTGTAGAATTCTGCACCCACCAATTAGAGGACGCACAAGGAGCTCCCTCTGCCCTTGTCAGGCCCCACCCTGCAGCAAAGGCCACGCATCCCACAAAGCCCCCCCGCCCCCCTCCCTGGGCCCACGAGCCCTGCAAACACTGTACGGGCCCCAACCTCCCTCTGCAGGCTGCTCCTTCTCGCCCAGCTGCACTGGCCATCGCGGCCAGCCTGGGGTACCTCCTCCCTCCAACCACCTCCCATTTCCGACCCCGCGCCTTTGTGCACTCTGCTCTACAGAACCGAATGCTTCTCCGATCTGGCTCAGTGACATCCCAAACCTCTTTTTCAACATTCAGCTCAAACCCTACTTCCTTTGTAGTCTTCCTCATCTAAAATTACATGTCCCCTTGTGTTAACTCTCACAGCATTTCCTGTGTACAGTCCTCCTGGGACAATTAATACCATGCTCTGCATTATACCCCAACCCTCAAATACTAAATTATTTTTCCATGTACATATAACTCATCATAAAAACAGCCCCAATTTTTACTTGTGTTTTATACAATTGCGCAACAGCAGATCTATATAAAGTAACCAAAATGCCTGATTTGATCAAATAGTCCCCAAAAGGCAGAAAATCGTATGATATAGTGGAAGCCAATTTCTTCCTAAAAATACACATCCTACAATCTAATAAAAAGAGTCCTCAGGCAAGTCACTGAAATCCTACCCAACATCAGCTAGTCTTCAGAGGTGAAATGTCCATTACGAGTTGCTCAGAAGTTTGACTCTGTATTTTAGTGCCTTTTGAAACAGAACTGAAAGAGCCCTTCAGAGGGGACGTGACCAGAGCAGCCCATTCCACAGGATGTGCGTCTGGAGAATGGATACTGACCCACTGTTTGCTTCGGTTCACAGCCTAGTGTGCCTTCACACAGGGTCTCAGAAGTGCCTGTTACAGAATGTGATGGAATCTTCCTGCTGAGAAGAATGAGGCATTTAGATCCATGAACAGCACCGGAGGCGAGAATGACCACAGTCACTTTGGGCTTTAAGTTCAGCATTGTTACTGCCAGGATCTCGGCATCTCTTGAAGGACTAGAGACGGGCTAGGTCTTCACCTTCTTGGACACCAGAACTATCAGCGGCGTTCCTCTAGGGCAAGCATGTCAAACTCACAGGCTACCAGGGCCAAATAAACAAGGTATAAGTGTCTGTGGCCACAAGAAACAGGCTTCAATTTTCATAGAAACATATTTATTTCAATAGAGACATGCTGAATACAAAGGGCTGAAATAAACAAGTAATCGTTAACATAAAATAATAGAACATTTTAATAAAAATTAATATTTTTGCTTGAACATTAACTTGCCAGACACTGAATAACTGAACAAATTAATAAGCATAACGCAAATAAACCTATTTTCCTTTTTCTCCAAAAGCGAACTATTTCCTGTTGCGCACCCCTAACAAGTGAGGCCGAGGGAGACCAACGGCCTGGCCATCGGCTGCTAAAACATTTGCTGCTGGTGTTCGTGGGGAGCAATGGTGCGCCTGCGCCTAAGGGAAGTGAATGCAACACGACTGCCGTCATCAGTCATTAGCGAACATTGCAGTTCGTTATTAATTATGTATAACAGGATATTGTAAAAATTAAGTTACAAAATTGTTATTGAAACTTTTCTCACATACTGTTACATTGGCTGGGCTGCAGATACTCACCGTGGGCTGCGAGTTTGACACGCTTGCTCTCTGGCACAAGGTGCCTCCATGGAGCTCAGTGGACAAGCCACTTATTGGTATAAAAGCATCAATTACCTTAATCTCTCAAAAAAATAAAAATAAAACCAATACTTGAGGTCAGAAAACATAAATGAGGGTTTTATTTTTATTTTTTTTAAAATATATTTTATTGATATTTTACAGAGAGGAAAGGAGAGGGATAGAGAGTTAGATACATCAATGAGAAAGAAACATCAATCAGCTGCCTCCTGCACATCTCCTACTGGGGATGTGCCCGCAACCAAGGTACATGTCCTTGACCGGAATCGAACCTGGGACCCTTGAGTCCGCAGGCCGACGCTCTATCCACTGAGCCAAACCGGTCAGGGCCATAAATGAGGGTTTTAATAATAAGTCTTCCCAGACTCCTGACAGGCCCTTGAATATTCATGCACATTCCACCTGGGGAGGGGGGACCCACAAAGGGGCTAAGGTTGATCGTATTATGATAGTTATGTAGGAAAATGTCCTTATTCCTGGGAGATGCAAGCGGAATTATTTTGGGTGCAAAGAATCATGACGTCTCCAACTTACTTTGAAATAATTCATGAAAAATAAAAGTCATTAATTTAGATTGCTTAGAGATTACATGGCAAAGCTGGACCTTGCCGGTGGCATAGATTTCCCTGTGCTTATCCTATCAACATTTCAGAATGTTTGGCCACAAGCAAGCAGGTTATCAGAAAGGCTATTTTGTACTGAACATAAACTGTAATTGAAAAAAAAGAAAGGCTGTTTCGACTCCAGGTCAAGTAAAGAAAAATTTAGTAAAACTCTTTAATAAAAGCCTTAGTGATAGAGTAAAAACATTATCTTTGATATTTAAATATATTACATTGTTGTTTTGAAGTAGATACCAATTTAACAACTACCAAATGGGCCTATCCTCACCCTAGTAGAATGGAACTTTACAACACAGGTGAGCCCTGACATTCTTGGGCTCAAACCCCTCCACAGGCCGCCCTCACCTCGAGTAGACATCACCGCCTGACCACAGCCCAGAAGCCCCCTCATCTCCCATGACCGCCTCCACCCACAGTCCAGCTCCCGGCCAGGCCCCCCCCCCAATGTCTGGAACACTGACCTCAGAGGACGACATGGCTCCCTCCCTCGCCTCATTTACATCTTCGCTCAAACGTCACTTTTTGGTTAACATTTTCTGACCAATTAAAACTGCACTTGTATCCCCCCCAACCCCTAGTTTATTTTTCAACACACCACCTGTCTACCAACATACTCCTTCTACATATCTGGATTTAACCAATGCACCCTAGAAGTTTTACACATTGGGTACCCACACATCACTGCCTCTGAATTATAACGTCTATGAGACAGGAACTTTGATCTTCTTTGTTTACCAGCGCCCTGGCACCTACCATGAAAACCATGACAACACAACCCATTTATCCCTGTGAATTACATGAAAAAGAAAGACTATCTGAAGTCTAACCTCCCATCCAAGAACACTGTGTGTCACAGGCTCCTGCACTGAATCACGACGACTCAGCTCTGCAGTGGGTTTCTCAGCACTTGATCTCCTAGAGCTGCTCTTCCTGGCTCATCTGCCTCTTCCCATGCAGAGCTCGGTTTCCGGGGGTTGGGTCTTTTTCTACTGTATCCCCGCAGCATCTGCGGCAGCCCAGGACGGAGCCCAGGACGACGGAGCCGTGGCACAGGACGGAGCCCAGGACGACGGAGCCGTGGCACAGGACTCTGTCGTGCTTGCTCAATGAGTGGGAAGCACACAAACATACCCACGCTGTGTACTTCCGGGGTGCTACAGTGAAAAGAGGTTGAGCTCTGGGGTCAGAGTGATTTAAGTGCACGATGTAGCCCAGATTTTTATAAGTCTATGTAACCTGCCAACACCTTAGACTCCTTGCTTTTAACAACACAAACAATGCCAGTCCTTCCAAATGGTTCTCCTGAAAAGAAAGTTAAATTACCAACCAGAAAAGCCCTGTGTATGATGACAAATATGAGCACTCAGGAAGAAACGCTGTGTCCGGAACTTCTGAAAACAATTCAAATTCTCTTCCTATCTTCTCTCTTAACTCCCCCACCTCCCCCTAGGGCCAAGGGCACATAACCTCCAGCAATATTCCTATTAACTGCAAAAGGCCTCAAATAGCGACGTCACCTTTTCTATCCATAGAGTGGTCTCTGGCCAGAGAGAGCAAGAACTGTGCGAGTTTAGAGAAACCAGCGGACATTGGTGAATGACTCAAGGCCCTTGGCGACTGAAGAGGCCCTTTCTGTTAAGCTAATGCTCTTTTCCTAATTAATTCCCATATAAAGTCCCCTAGTAAAGGCAGCAAAGTGTTTCAAGCCTGGTGCTTACATATCTTTACTTTTATTTCACCAAATGCTCCCTCCAATCCAAATCCACAATGAAAAGTTAAGATAGGTTAATGAAATCCAAAAAAGTCTTGTATTTCATGAGGACACTTGAATTTTTTCCTATATCATTATCTGACCATTATAAGAAGCTAACAGGGGTAGCACAGTAAGTTAGGCATCACAATAAAAAGTACACTCTGCAGCGTGCAGTATTCAAAGTACATCAGTCTCTTGATAAGGAAGACTCTACATCCTTCTGTCAAATCAGTGTGCTACAACGATAAGGCGCTATTTTGTGAGTCAACATGTACACGTAGCCCTTCCTGGTTTTGAACTCCCCGCGGAGTGTGCTTCTGAGAGAAAGGAGGTGCTGACTGCCCGCAACAACCTGAGCCTGTCACAGGGAGTGGTCTGCTGCGTCCTGATCGATTCTATGAGTTACAGCCCCATGTAGTCATGGTAACGACAACAGGCCAGCATCAGGTAGAGGATCTGTTTACAGCTCATTCGGAAACATTCATGTCACGCCCATCTTTTCCTCAGCCCGCTCTGTTGCAACAGCTCCTGAGCGCACACTGCACTCTGGGAGGCTCCCGACGGCCCCTGCAGATGCTGCAAGATTTTAGCGCCCCCCCTTCACAGTCACCCTGCAGCCTGGCCGGCCCTGCACACTGCAGAAACCACACCTTCCCCCTCAATGAGGGGACCCAGCACCAAGGGACTGCGTGGCTACATTTTTCCTCGGTCCTCTTTGTTTTAAATCCCACTAAACCAGAAATGGCTCAATTTACAACCTGTTTCTTAACCACTAACGCTCCTGGCATCATCTACCAAAATTGTTAAGCAGATTCACATGGAAAAATACCTCCCTGATTCTGCAAAGCACAGACGCTTCTTTGAAATAAAAAGCAGCTCTGCCAATCCTTCCAATCCATGCCCACAGGGAACCCAAAGGCCCGCAGCAAAGGAGCCAAAACACACACAAACGCCTGGGCGGAAGGCAGGCTTTTCCCAGGCTGTCAATAGCCCGGGTCCCGCCTCCACTGGGCCTGCCTATGGTGCAGAATCAGCAAGAAGCTGAGGGATGTGGCCGGGCTTGCTAATTGGTCTCCACTTCAGAGAAAGGAAAACCAGTGAGTTTCCACCTAAGAAATACGGCAAAAACGCTCAGTTGGTTTTTAATCGAAAGGGTTGGTATCCAGATTAGTAACCAAAGTTAGGAACTTAGGCCACGAACTGGCCCTGAGGGAGAGAGAGCAGGGAGGCCAATCGGAAAAGCTGTTTCCTGCCTGCACAATGAGGCTGCTCGACGGACACTTCACGAGGGAACACCAGGGCAGGCCCCATGCAAACTCCGGGGAAGCGTGAGGCTCCAGGCTCACATCACCCAGAGCAGAGCACCCGGAGTGCAGACTGTGCCGTGTGGAGAGCTCTGGCCGGCAATTTTGCTTTTCATTTCATGTTATGTTTATTTTAAAAAATGAAAAAGACAAAAAAAATTACTGCAGCTGAAGTACACAATTAGGGCAAAGATGGAACTAATTAGGCAAGATGCCAGCAAATCTTTAGCTTGAGTTACTTATCAGAAATTGTTTCATAATGAACGAAAAGAAAAAAACCACAATGTAAGAAACACTGGGAATGCACTACTGCTAATTGTATATAAAATAGTATTTTTAGCCCTGGCTGGTTTGGCTCGGTGTATAGAGCGTCAGCCTGCGGACTGAAGGTCCTGGGTTCGATTCCGGTCAAAGGCACATGCCTGGGTTGTGGGTTCAGTCCCCAGTAGGGGGTGTGCAGGGGGTAACCGATCAATGATTCTCTCTCATCATTGATGTTTCTATCTCTCTCTCCCTCTCCCTTCCTCTCTGAAATCAACAAATATATATATGTATACAAAAAGTACTATTTTTACATGGTTTGTAAACAACCCTCTTACATAGGAACGCTTCCCATTTGAAAAGCCAGGTATTGCTTATGAAGCTACTCTATTAAAATTTCACTTCTCTTCAAGATCGATTAAACAAAACTAGATCATTAAAAGTCCTTGCGTAAAGAAACTGAAGACAACCTAAATCGTGGGAAGACATCCTATGTTCATTGACGAGAAGAATAACGCTGAGATGACAATACTCCCCAAACTGAATGCAAATAAAAGTCACAATGAGATGCCACTCACACCCGCTAGGTGGTTATCACGAAGAAGGGAGGGGAACGGTGTTGGTGAGGATGTGGAGAAACCAGAACCTTTCTAAATTGCTGGTGGGAACAAAATGTTACCACCACCATGGGAAACAGCAGAGTTCTTCCAAGTTACACACATGATCCAGCAATTCCAGTCCGAGGGGCCGAGAAGCGAAAAACCTATGCTCACATGTGAGAGGCGCACCAACGTTCGTGGCAGCATCATTCACAGCAAGGAGACGGTGAGCTGTGGCGCACCCACCAGGGATCAGTGCTCAGCATGGAGACACCGCAGGGCTGATTTCCACAGCAGGAAGGCGCTCTGACAACATCCCGCAAAGGGAAGGAGCCAGACGCAAGGCCACGTGCTGTGTGACTTCGTCGAGAAGAAAGGCCCAGAAGAGGCAAGTCCAGGACAGAAAGCAGGCTGGTGGCCACAGGCTGAGAGGACGGAAGGGGAGTGGCTGCTCGACTTAACGTGGGATTTTGTTTTGGGACGATGAGAATGGCGGCTGGTAAGACTGTGAACATACCAGAAGCCACTGGATCATATCCTCTAAGTGGTTAAAATAGAGAATTTTATGTTGTACGAATTTTGCCTCAATTTAAAAAAACAACAACAATGAACTGAAACTTACACAGCAACATATGAATTCAAATAACGACTTAAGTCCTTTCAGTATTCTTGTGTCTATATTCTTTTTTTAAAAGAATATATATTTTGTTGATTTTTTACAGAGAGGAAGGGAGAGGGACAGAGAGTTAGAAACATCGATGAGAGAGAAACATGGATCAGCCGCCTCCTGCACACCCCACACTGGGGATGTGCCCACAACCAAGGTACATGCTCTTGGCCGGAATCGAACCAGGGACCCTTGAGTCTGCAGGCCGATGCTCTATCCACTGAGCCAAACCGGTCAGGGCTTGTGTCTATACTCTTAAAATCTACATCTAGAAACCGAAAATCAGAGAGTTTGCAACTGTGCCATTATTAACAGTTACGAGAGAATATTTTAGCTCTATCTACCACAAAAGGAAGCAAAATAAGAGAGAAAAGCTCACATACTAATCTTAAGAGACAGGCCTGTACTGACCACAGCACTCACCTGCAAGCAAGCCCACTGGTCTCAGCAAGCTCTCTCCCAGGAGCCCCACGGCCACCAGCGGGGTGGGGGTGGGGATGGGGTGGGAGGGGCGGGGGAGGGGCAGCGACTCACCAAGCTTTTCCGGCTCCTCGGGGCCCGTGCCCGCGATGCAGCTGCTCTCCAGGCCGTAGGTGGGGTCCACTTTCCCAGAGGCTCGCGCTGCTTCTTGCACTTTCTTGACATGAGCTTCCACCAGTTCCAGGGGCACCTCCTCCCGGACCCGAGAAAACTCCTCTGTTCAAGAACACAAGGGGACGGACGGGGACCTGGTTTCACACAAGTACGTGCTTCACGTAACTCACCAGGACACCCCCACACACTAGTGTCTTGTGTGCAGGGACCTTTCTGGGGACTCGGTCCATCTTCCCCGGACAACAGGACAAACGAAACACCGCGCCTGGTAACGAAAACCGGGTGCGTGTCCTGGCGTCTCGCTATGTAATAAGACAGATCTTTGAATTTGTATCATTAGCAATCAAAACTGCTGTCCAAATTTTACCACCTGCTTAGCTAGATTGATAATGAGAAAGACAGCAAGCACAGACACCAGACGCCAAGGAGAGTTCTGCGACCCGATGACGGTCTCGTTCCAATTAGTATGGGATCCAAGAATGTCACATGACTCCTTTCGCCAGTCATATCAAATTTCAAGTGAATCACAAAATATACCGTAAAAAATACTCTGACCCCCCATTCTTAATGCTTTTAACTTTAAAACTACTACATTTTAAGTGCTTCAGTCTAAATTGTGATCCTGTAAGTACAACAGCATCGAATGGGTTCTTGTTATGTAAGTAACTGCGACGAATGCGGCCAGGAGGACATTGGAGGGGCCCTGGGTGAGGGAGGCAGGAAGCCACGATCTGCACATGCACGCGGTGAGGGGGCTCCGCGGAGTCCGTACCCAGAGCCGCTTTGGCTGCAGCAGATGCCACTCGAGGGTCCACCACCGATGCCAGGAAGGCCACTGTGCTCATGACGGGGTTTCCTGACTGGCTGAAGGGGACCGGCTGGTAAGCCAGGGGCCCCAGGGAGGCGTCCGAGTTCTCCAGGTACGGGTCCTCGATGGGCAGCCGCAGGAAGTGCAGGATGCACTCGTCCTGCGTGCGGCTGCCCACGTGCTCCGACACCTTGTTCCAGTCGTCCTTGTACATCTCCAGGGCCTACAAGGAACAGACAGCTTTCATGTCGTAACAAGGACGTGCTCTGTGACGACACCACAAGCCACAAGCCTGCGACTACTTTCAGATGTTTTTAAAACAATAATGAAAATGGTTTTACTCTACAGTAAAAGGGATGCACTTCGTAAAGAAAACCTGTGTGTAATTAATACACACGAGTGTTTATATAGAAAGTCCTAAGGAACCTATAAGAAGGGAACCAACGCTGAAAGTACTGCAAGGTCACAGGATAAGAGGGAATAGAAAAGCTCACTTGTGCAATAAAAAGAAATTTAACTGGGGGAAAGTAAAGTATTTAAAATAGCACAAAAATGCAATACTAAGGAATAAATATATGAAAGAATGTGTAAAGTCCACAAATTGAGAAAATAAAACTTACTGAGAGAAATCAAAGACCTAAATAGATACTGTGCTCATTGATAAGCAGTCTCAGGACGGTTTGATGCCAATTCTCTCCAAACTGAACTAGATTCAACGCAACCCCATTCAAGCTCCAAGCTTTTTTTCGTTAAAAATTTGGAAGCAGTACTAACATGTATGAAGGACACAAATCTCTAGCTTTAAAATTTGTAATTTTTCATAGAAAATGCTGAAAAACTTCAACTGAACAACAAAACTAAAAGCCATCTCCCCCAAGAGGGCGGGGGATAGAATGGGGAAAAACCAGAAATACATGGAGAGTCGAGGAATCGACTGGGTAAAAAGAATCTACTCAGTAGCTTCCCAAAGTTCTCTCGAGAGCCGTGATTCCAGGGCCTTCAGCAGTGTCTGGAGACATTTGCGGTTGACATAACTGGGGCGTTCTACCGGCATCTACTGGGAAGAGGCCCTGGGTGCGGTTCAATGCTGGACAACGCACGTGAGAGCCCAGAACACAAAAGCGATCGGCCAAGTGCCAATGGCGGCCGACTGGAAACCCTGCTCTAGAACCACAAGCACTGTCACCTGCCTGCATGCCCCTCAGCTATTAATTACTGACAAACACACCACACAAAGAGGGTGCTGGTGGAAAACAAAGCTGCCGGAAGCCTTTTATTTCTCTGTGTGAGCGCGGACAACACCTGCTGATTCAAGTGTATGTTTAAAAGAAAACCAACCACGGCACAGCGCCACCTGCAGGAGGAAAGGCACTGTGTGCGAGGCGACGGGGCTTTGACATGGCAGGTGAACAGGGGCCGGCCTCGCACATCCCTCTGTACTTATCCGGCTGGTCCTACCGTTCTGGTATCCGCGTGCAGAGGGAGAACTGATGTGAGACTGCTGGTGTGGCACAACGAAGTTTCTCTGCAGAACCCAGACTCTAAAAGATCCCCCACAAGTCCTGAGCCCTTTTAAATGAACCTCGATGGCAGATAGGACTAGACAAAACAGTCCTGAAATTTAAAAAGAGGCTCAGAAAAGAAGCTCTCTGTATATCACTGATACTGAATGGGCAGATGAGAATAAATTAAAATAGCAGTAAACACTCCAAAAGAAGCAATCTTTTTGGGTTTTGATCCAGAGAGCGAGAAGTGGAAAGAATCTTGGAATTGCCCGCCTGCAGAAATCTAGTTGAACAACAACCAGCGTCCTTGCGCTTGAGTCTGCTGCAGCCGCTGTCCTGCTCCTTGCAGGCCGGGTCCTGCTAGCGCGCCTGGCGGTCAACACCCTCACCGGTCTCACGGCAGCTCCCACAGGCCCGTCTACACGAACACCGAGCCGCGCCACGTCTGTTCTGTAGCTACGGACAAACGGTCCCTCTTCAGAAATGGCTGCTAAACACGAAACCAACCGTCTCCATGTCCTGCCCGTCCGAACAGACATGATCGCCAAGACCTATGTGTGCGGCACTGTGAGACTCTGCCGAGTCACGAAGAAACCCACATGGGGACTCAATAAACACTAACAGGATGCTGGTTACTCTCACTGTTCACCTGTCCGTGGCTTTCATAAACCAGCAGTGCTGTCCATCCAGGGCTGGCATCTTCAGCTACTTCTCGGAGTCCTGGGAAGGAGGCGGTCACACACCCAAATGCATACAAGCACTGGGGACTCATCCGCATGACTAAGTGGGCTGAGTTCAGAAAAACTGGACCTAAATAAAGGCTCAACCTCAAAGGCACGTCTGCTGTCCCAGGCCAGCAATCACTGCTCCGTGAAAACCAGGTCCCAGAATGGCCAGGCCTTCCCATTTTGGAGGAAAAGTTAGAAAACTTTAGCAAAGCTCCAATATTTATTTAATGCTGGCAACAGATTGTAAGCAAAAGAAACCCAACCTGGGCCAAAATAACACATATCCAGGCTTGATCTCCTCTACTGAGAGCCAGTGTGCAACCTCCAGGTTTGCTACTTAAATAGTAATGACCCACTAAGCCAGGGGTCCTCAAACTACGGCCCGCGGGCCACATGCAAATACAAATATTGTATTTGTTCCCGTTTTGTTGTTTTACTTCAAAATAAGATATGTGCAGTGTGCATAGGAATTTGTTCAAAAAATTTTTTAAACTATAGTCCGGCCCTCCAACGGTCTGAGGGACAGTGAGCTGGCCCCGTTTAGAAAGTGTGAGGACCCTGCACTAAGCTCATTAAACGGATGTAAACATTTCAGTCAGTTCCAAGGCCGATGCCAGCGCCCGTCCTGGAACAGCGCGCCCCCCTCCCCCCAGCAGCCGGGCTCCGTGCTCACCTCCAGCACCCCCCTCCCCGCGCCCCCCCAGCAGCCGGGCTCCGTGCTCACCTCCAGCAGTAGCAGGGTCTCCTGCTCCGTCCACTCCCTTCCAGCGCTGGCACCTTTACTCTAAGAACAAACCAGAGTTACTTCCGCCTGCGCCTGGCCTGGGGCAAAGCTCCCAGCAAGCAGAGCAGCGGAGAGCAGGCCCGGAGCCTGAGCTGCTCACAGGAAGCTCTTCCTTGCCAACCGACACTCTGACCATTAAGACGCGTTACTCCTATTACTCTGACATTTGAAAACACCCTTTGAAGCTACAAGGGCACAGTGGTTGGCGTGTCTCACAAGTCAGCTATACTACTGTAACCACAGCAGATACTGGGTGCAACTCAAGGCAGTACTTTTAATCTCTTGATGAAAATAGTTTCAAACGAGCCCCTGAACCCCAAGTTGCCTTTCCCATGAGAATCCCTGACGCCTCACAGTCCATGTGAGCGCTGAAGGCGTAAGAATTAACATTTATCTATTGATTCCTTTTAAAAAAATGTTTCTTATTGATTTGAGAGAGAATCATTGATCGGCTGCCTCCTGCATGGCCCCCACACCGGGGATAGAGCCCACAACCCGGGCATGTGCTCTGACTGGGAATCGAGCCATGACCTCCTGGTTCATAGGTCGACACTCAACCACTGAGCCACTCCAGCTGGGCGATTCCTATTTTTATTTGCTTCATTCATATTTGTAGGACTGGATATGTGGTATAATTGACATTCTTTTTTTTTTTTTGCTTAATACTTACTTGAGTGATTAAAAACACTGAAATGCTACTTTAACGAGTTTCAGCTTCTTGGTTAAACACTGTAGGCCTTGTTGAAGCAAGGCCACCAAAAATCTTCAATGCCTCCCAAAAAAGCTGGGCGAGAAATGACACTATTCTTTACCTATAGATGTTACTAATTCAAAATATACATTCTAACATTATCTCTTCTCTGAAACCTCTATTTTGGAGATTACAATTAGACAAATGAAAAATATCTGGACAGTCCGTGATGTCCTTGCTGTTGTCTATAAAGTTTCTTGATTTATTTCACGCAGCCTGCAAACACTCTCCATGGTATTCAATGCATACCATTCTGAACTATTTGCAAGAAATGTACTGAAAAGACCAGCCCTTTGACGAGAGAACAAAGAGGACTCCAAGCCCTGCAGAAACCAGGTTCTTGAGGTCCTGCTTTGAGAGGGAAGACGCATGGAGCTGTGCCTCACAACACATTGCTCAGATGCCTGGAGGCTGACTTTCAGAAAACCAAAGGTTCATCTTTGAATCACCAACATTAGAAGTGACCATGAATCAGATCTGGAGTCCCCAGAGGAACAAAACTCATGAACATTCCATCTTAATTCTGAGGAAGCCAAACCCACGCAGGGCAGAGCTGCGCCACCTCGGCACGGACGGCATTCGCCGATGGGTCCTCAGCTGCCACCTCCCCACTCCTCAGCCGAGGACACAGGAAGGGTTCTGTCCACCCCCTTGGCCCAGTTTCTCCTCTTGTAGAAACTGGCTCACAGCCCTGCTGGTTTGGCTCCATGGTCAGAGGTCGGCCCAGACTGAAGGGTCCTCGGTTCGGTTCCGGTCAGGGGCGTGGACCTTGGGTGCAGGCTCGATCCCTAGGGCCAGTCGGGGTTTGTGCAGGAGGCAACCAATCAGTGTGTCTCTCTCACATGGATGTTTCTGTCTCCCCGCTCCCTTCCACTCTCTCTAAAACAAAACCAAAACAAACAAACTGGCTTACAGAAGAGTACAGAACCTTATCAGGGCCGTGAGGTGTTTGCTGGGACTTTTGCATATTTTAGAAAATTTCCTTTTGTACTTATTGAGGTAAGATATGCACAATGAAATACACGCGTCTTAGGTGCAGAATTTGATGCAATTTTATGCACACATCCATGTAACAACAACTGAAATCAACACCCATTCTTTTACTTTCATAATTGAAGTGTCTTCATATTTGAAGTGAGTTTCTTATAAACAGCATATGCTTGTTCTTGATTTTTTATCCAATTTGATAATCTACGCTGCTTAACTGGAGCATTAAAACCATTTACAGGCGAAACTGGTTTGGCTCAGTGGATGGAGCGTCGACCTTCGGACTGAAGGGTCCCGGGTTCGATTCCGGTCAAGGGCATGTACCTTGGTTGCGGGCACATCCCCAGTAGGAGATGTGCAGGAGGCAGCTGATCGATGTTTCTCTCTCATCGATGTTTCTGACTCTCTATCTCTCTCCCTTCCTCTCTGTAAAAAATCAATAAAATATATTTAAAAAAAACCAAAAACCCATTTACCACTGTTATTACTATCTCTGTGGTCAGATGTAAATCTACCATTTTGTTGTTTCTACACTCTCCGTATGTTCCTTCTTGTTCTCATTTCCTGCCTCCTTGTGAAGTAGCTTTGTTGTGGAGTAGTATTCTGTTTTTATCTGCTTTGATTAATGATGATGATATTGCTAAATATGTCAATTCTTGCTGTGAAGATGACGATTTTGTGGAAGGTATTATGTAACTTCATTTACTTGCGGTTCATAATTTTTTTCCTAAACTACTGTAAAATCAGCAAAAGTGCCTTGGCAATTTTACCATAGTTCCTAGGATATTAGTTGGCACTCAAAGGATTAAATAGTTGCTCTGCCCAGCTGATGTAGCTCAGTGGTGAGCATCGACCTATAACCAGAAGGTGGCAGTTCGATTCCTGGTCAGAGCACATGCCCGGGTTGTGGGCTCCATCCCCAGTGTGGGGCGTGCAGGAGGCAGCCGACTGAGTCTCTCTCTCTCTCTCTCTCATTTATATTTCTCTCTCTCCCTTTCTCTTTGAAATAAATAAACAAATATATATATTTTTTAAATAAATGCTCTAAGATGTATAATACTCACTTCTAATTTGTCACAATATACCTTCCAATAATAGTTTAACATCACACATATAGTATAAGAATTTCAATACAATAGACTTCCATTTCGCCCTCCTAGCCTATGTTTGGTCCTTAATGTCCATGTGCTGTGAACCTAATGATGTGCTGTTAGCATCGTGGGTAGAAAGAGCCCACTGTCAGCTTTAAAAACTAAAAATAAGGGGAGAACGACTCTCACGCCAGCCCACATGTGACCTTCTGGCTCTGTGTTCTTCCAGCGACCTAGTCCCTCCCACAATGCCTTGTCAATCACCACAGTTCACCCTGAACCAGCATTTTTATCTCGAATCATAAATGAGTTTTCACTGCATCTCATGTGCCTCTTGCTCTCTGTTGTGTCTGTCCTGTTGCATCCAATTTCTTTCTCTCTTGGTCCTTTAGTTCAATAAATCTAACCTGCCCGAGGTTCACTGTCCCTGCCTTTTGCTCTATTCAGCCTATTAAACTCATGCATTAATTTCAGGTATATTTTTATATTATACAATATTCACTTGACTCCTTTTATATATTCCAATTCTCAGTTGAAATTCTCATTTTGTCCTCTATTGTATTTAACATATTAATCATAGTTATTTTTAAATACTTCTAACTATGCAGAAAAACGGTAAAAGTGACTGTTCTTTACAAAATGCCATCAGATTAGTAGAAAGCTCACTCCTTACACTTTAGACAGTAAATTAAGCTTCTTCCGGGAATGACATTTCATAGAAGGAAGGAGGACAAAGAGGACGTGCTGGGTTGAGTCAGTGTCTGTCTAGGAAAATAATCCTTACCTTTGCCAAGGTTTTTTTGGAGTAAATGTCAGTACGGAGACCAAAGTTCTGCAAATCAATCGGTTTTTCCTTGTTCTTCTCGGGAAAATTTAACATCTGCTGAGCAGCAGGGACCTATGAGTCACATAAAAGATAAAGAGCCGCATCAACCTCTACGAAGCCCAGGGGGGCATCGGCTCAGCACAGGAGACCCGGCTGTCCTCTGAGGTCCCACCCGAGACCCAGCCCTGGACCCTCCTCACAGACCTCCAGTCCAGTCTGCCCTCCCTTGGCTGGAGCCCAAGAGAGAGTGGAAGGGAGGGGGGAGGCAGAGAGAGAGAAACATCAGTGTGAGAGACATAACAACTGGCTGCCTCCCACACGAGCCCTGACCAGGCCCGGGCATTGCACTGAGCCTGCAACCAAGTTGTATTTCAGCTCCAGGCCCAAATACGCGGGGAAACCAGCCACGGGAGGCGTCAGGACCAGCTGCACTGGACAGTGACCCCCCTGCCCTGGTGCCGCCAGACCACAGTGGAGACCGCACCCTGAGAGGACACACCTGGGAAGCTGCTGCACATCCTCCTGAGATCTTCCCCTGGGAGCTGCCCTACCACCTCTGACCTTAAAGCCCTTGGGATGGGGGGGCCCGGGGGGGGGGCAGCCAGGGAGAAGTCAATGGGGGAAAAGGAGACATATGTAATGCTTTCAACAATAAAGAATTTAAATTAAAAAAACAGCCACCACCCTTAGGATGGAGGACCCAGCTCGCGCTCCCTCCAGGGTGCAGCCCCCCCCCACCACCACCACCGCACATCACCATTAGCTTCTTCCTCCCAAGCCCACAGGCCCTTCCTCCCTTTACCTCTAGACCAGTGGTTCTCAACCTTCCTAAGCCGCCACCCTTTAATACAGCTCCTCATGTTGTGGTGACCCCCAATTTCATTGTTACAAATGGAATGTAATTAAAGCACAGTGATTAATCACAAAAACAATATGTAATTATATGTGTGTTTTCCGATGGTCTTAGGCGACCCCTGTGAAAGAGTTGTTCGACCCCCAAAGGGGTCGTGACCCACAGGTTGAGAACCGCTGGCCTAGACCTTGTTTGCTAAGCCCGTTGCTTCTAGGAACTACTTTTCCTGCCTCTGTGATCTACCCGATAAACATTCTCAGTTAAGGGGACAGAAGTTTTTGAGGAATGGTTCAGCCCTGGCCGATCTGGCTCGGTGGACAGAGCGTCGGCCTGCAGACTGAAGGGTCCCAGGTTCAATTCCGGTCAAGGGCACATGCCTCGGTTGCAGGCTTGATCCCCAGTAGGGGGCGTGCAGGAAGCAGCCGATCTCCCTGCCACGCGGGGCACATTCTCTCTGACAGTCCCTCACCCTCCGCCCTCGAAGACACACATTAAACAGCAGGTTGTGTAAAGCTGTTGACGCAGCTTAAAACTCCTTCCCCTTCGGAACGTTTGGAACGTTCGGAACATCATCACTGATGTTTCTCTCTCTCTCTCCCTCTCCCTTCCTCTCTGAAATCAATAAAATATGTTTTTAAAAAAAGAGTGTTTTAATAGTGGAACCTAATTAAACACCCACTACTGGTAGAGACTCTACAAAAAAATAAATACTAACACTTTCACACCCTTCTTCTAGCAAAATGTTAATACCTAAGAAACATTTTCCTGTCTCTATTAAGTCACAGAAAAAATGAGAACACGTTTTCCTAAACACGCCCTCCGTTTCCCACTGCAGGGCCCGCAGAGCACAGCTTCCCTTCTTCAAACGCACGCTGCCCGTGATCGGACTGACAATACTTTCAAGACCATGTGTGCGAACGTCCACTTTCCAAACGTTCCGGCGGAGGGTGAGGGACTCGTGAGTCAGAGAGAATGTGCCCCGCGTGGCAGGGAGAGGACAGAGCCCTGGGATTCGGGGGAGCGTTTCCTTCCACACTAAGCGATGCTGGACTCACACTCACAACAGAGAAAAGCAAACAGCACTGAGCAGCTGGAAAGAGCGCCATCACGCACGGGAGGGGGTGATGGTGATGGTGATGGTGACGGTGACGGAGACGCCCGGAGATGAAATTCCAGGAGGCTGCTCCCTGAAGAGGGCAGAACGCACGTACCTGAGGGGATCGAAGGTGTAGAGGCACCAGCCCAGAGGGGGTGTCAGCCAGCACGTTGAAGTGGGGCGTAGGCGGGGGTCCCATCGCCATGGGCCGGCTTTCCGGGTCCACTTGGTAATTAACAAGGCCCCACTGCTCTAGGAAGGCGTGGACCCTGGAGAAGCAAGCTCCGAGTTACAGCTGGAGAACACGCCTTTTCATTTAAAAAACAAACAAAACACAAGCAAGCATCTTCTCTAGGCGGTGCACCATGAGACGTCGTTGGCAATTCTGGTTGATGGAGAGAGGAGGGTCTCCAGGCACCGCAGGCCGGGCACAGAGCCTCGTCTCCCATCAGCCGTGAGGGCGAAGTGAACACTCCGCGAGACCCGGGAAGGACTCACACACCAGTCGGCCCACCTTCCGTCTCCCAGGCAGATCTAGGCACAGAGCTTACCCACTCCCCTCCCAGCCCACTCGCCACCCGGGGCATTTTACAATTTGACTCTAAAATAAAAGATCATAAAATTCCAAAGCATCACCAATATTCAGCCCGAGTGAAAGACAGGACACTGGGCTGTTCTTGTCCAGCCAGGACACATCGGTCCCTGGATCGGACCTCGGGCAGCAGGGCTAGTCAGCGAGCCTGCAGGGAAGAGGCGGGGTGGCAGGCATGTACCTCATCACAGCACACACGTCGCCAGTCAAGTTCCTCCGACATGCGGTGCTGGTCAGATATTCTTGGGGGTTCAGGCGATAGGTGTCAATCATAAAATTTCGATAAGCCAAGTATCTAAAAAGCAATGGCAAAATTCTTAGGGTGGACACACATCCTTTCAGAAACAATAACACACAGAGCGAAAAATCTGCATATTCCTCACAAGTAAAAAAAACAAAAAGCTAAACGACACTCCAACCAGTAAGTGACACTGAGTATTTAGTCGACCAGTGTAACAGGGCAGGGCCCCTAATATGCAGAACAACTCCTCACGAATGTGTGCACGAAGGAAGCTGGCCACGCTGACGTGAAGTAACATGGATACAAGCTGGGTCAGAGATGAATGGAGAGCCGCCTGCAGCCTCCCTAGCGGACGGCCCTGGGCCCACAGGTTCCCACCCGAAGGTGGAAAAGACTGCTTCCGATTCACAGTTCTGGCTGACTCTACAGACGAAACTCTCGGACACAAAGGGCTGACGGCAGGGGTCCAGCAACGTCCATGGTATCGCCTCCGCGGGAGCCTGGGGGCCTCCTGTTGTGTCTCCAGCGCTGACTGCGTTGCCAGGCCTGGTGCTGAGCACCCCCTGCCCTCCTCACTCAGCCCCACAACGGCACGCTGTCAGCGCCCATTTTCAGGAGACAGAAGCACTAGGTGACACAGGTCTGTCTGGGGCCTCAGCCCGGGGAGGGGCACGCTGGCTCCAGCGCCGACGTGTGCGGCTCTTGGCTGGCGTGGCGTCATCTCGATACTCTTCCCAGAGCCCCGCGTGGCCTTCGCTCTGGCCTGGCTGTGCCCCTGCCTGACAGTTTCTCCGGCAACGAGGAGAAGCCATGAGGCCAAACTCAGATTGACACAGAACATTTCTTTTTAAAGAGAGAAAAACAGATTGGGGGTCAGAGGAGATTCCACAATGTGCCCAAGCATTTTCGCCACAAATACTTAAAGTGAGAGTGCGAAGAAGCTGGAGACCTAGCAACAGTTCTTGCAGCAGAAGTCAGACCAAAGCCGGGCAGCCGAGGTTAGCTGCAGGCGAGCAGGAAGGCACTGCTCCAGCAGGGCCTGTGGAAGCACCGGGGCCAGCACGGCCTGGAGGTGAGTCCACAGTTAGATGGACTGAAGTGCTAAAGGTGCTTCTCAGCAGGAGACTCCCAAGGACCCTAAGAACTTACAAACGCTGGCAACTCGCCAGTCAGGTGGCAGCACAGACCACGACTGGGCAGAGGAAGAAAGTATCAGGACACTCAGGGTTGATCATGGCAAATCCGACTCTGGCTCCAAATGACCCCTGACAGTGTTTACAGCTTGAAGACTGCGTTTCTCTCTGCCTCAAACCGCCCTGCACAGGCTCCCCCAGCCCATACGCATGATCCCATCCTCCCTCCCTAACAACCCCATCCTCCCCCGCTAACAACCCCCATCCTCCCCCCTAACGACCCCCATCCTCCCCCCTAACGACCCCCATCCTCCCCCCTAAAGACCCTCAGCACATAGCATGATCCCATCCTCCTTCCCTAACAATTTAAACAAGAGACATCTATTTTGCAGTCACATGTATGTAACGGACAACAGATTAACACTATCCTATCTAATAAAGAGGGAATATGCTACTTGACCCTCACACCATCGCAAAGATGGCGGCACCCACAGCCAATAAGGAGGGAACATGCCAACTGACTGCCCCGCCCTCAAAGATGGTGGTGCCCTGTCCCCCCAGTCCCCCAGCTGCCCAGGGCCGCCCGAGGCTCAGGTATCCAGGGCCGGCTGAGGCTTGTGCTACCGGCAGAGGCAATAGCAGAGGTGTGATGGGGGCGTCACCTTCCCGATCTGAGGGCTCCCAGACTGTGAGAGGGGGCAGGCCGGGCTGAGGGACCCCCCTCCAGTGCGTGAATTTTCATGCACCGGGCCTCTCGTGAAGATGATAAATGGAAAGATATGGTACTGAAGATGGCGGCGGTATAGGCAGACGCGTCCCAGGTCGTGTCCCTGAGCAAATGGAGTGAGCAGCTGAAACTAGTAACATCCACCCCGAATTGGCGAAATTCCTCAGCTGGCGAGACGGTTTACAGCCGGGAAGAGCAGAACTCCCCTGGAAAGGTAAAAAAACCAGGGATTTGGGCAGGAAAGTTTGCCAGACCTCTGAGCCCAGAGAGTCGGAGGGAGACCGCGTGGCAGACAGCCGCGTCCCTTGGGACAGGCACAGCCCCTGACGGGGGAAAGGAGAACCGCGGGATTCCTGGCGCTGCCGGGGGAATTGAGAGCTGGGTCTGTGATCACGGAGGACTGAGCCTAAAGGGGGCAGCCTGAAGAGCTGACCAGACCATGCAGTCCCGGTAAGAGAAGAAGCTTACAGAAACCAAGCCTTCCCCGTTTCCGCGGCCGGTGTTTGTTTGTTTGTTTTCACTGAACCCTGTTCATGGGACATTTCGGATACAGACACTCACCTGTGCTGAAGAGAGGGAGAGTGTGCGGAGGAGTGGAATCTGGGGAGAGACTGAGGAGAGAAGGGGGGCCGGGAGAGGTGGCAGCGAATTGAGTGCTGAGACACCCCTGAGCCCACGTCTGAGGCAGCCATTCTCTCCGGAGAGTGAGACTCCTCCCCCCAGCCCCCAGGCAAGGAGCACAGCCACACCCAGATTCCACCCTGTAGGAGATCAAGGATTAAAATATCCTGATCAGTCCCTGGGAGTTAACAGGGTCTGGCCTATAGAGGGATTTTCAATCCCAGCAACAACACAGCACTGGTAACTCTTACGCAGCCAGCTCTGGGCAGTGAACTTCCACTGGACAGAGAGGCCCTGTAGCCTCAGAGGCCAACCCCAGAACACTGCCACCCAGAGGCTGACCCACAAACTGACTCTTTGCTAAACACAAAATAAGGCAGTCTGGGAAACAAATGCGGCTTGCTTTAAAATAAGGACTGTGGTTTACAACACAGAGGAACAGTGTATCGCAGGGAAACTCAACACTCTCCTGAATACCGGGCAGGTCTAAGGCGAGCCACACTGAAGAATAGAAGAACCGAAGGACCTTCACTACTGCAATATTTTTTTTTTTCTTTTTTCACCTTTTAACTAAGAAACCAATTTTTTTTCTTTTTTTTTTTTTTTTTTTTTTCTTTTCCTCTTCTTCTTTTTTTTTTTCCTTCTTTTTTCCATCACCTGATTTTACCCTTTTAATTACTACCTTCTTATTTTTAACCAGTATTATTACTGCTACCATTTTACCATTTTTTTTAAAGTGCCATTTTATTTTCTCTTTATTTTATTTTGGGATTAGTGTTCTCCATTCTATTTTCATCGTTATATTATTGGTTGTTTCTAGTTTGCATTTATCTCCAGGGAGCTGTTGCTGGAATTTGTTGGGATTAATGGCTGTTCTATAGGAGCATTCTCCTCATATAAAAAGTCTCTTCCCCTCTTCCACTTCATTCTCTCTTTTCGCTCTTTTTTTTTCTTTTCCTTTCTTTTCTCGCTTTTACTTTCCCCCCTCCTTTTTCCCACTTTCATTTTTGCACTCCTTTTTTTGGTCCCTAATTTTCTTTTCTTTTTTCTCTTTTCTCTTTTTCTCTTCCTTCTTCCTTATCCCCTAATTCTCTTAATTCAGGTGGTCACCTTTATTTGGGGTTATTAATATCGTGAATATATTTGTGTATAGTGCCTGGTACGTGGTGCCTTGTTGTGTTGTATTTTGTGCCTTTAAATCAACACAGCAGATCCAAGCAACAGCAACCTCCTGAGCACCACACCCTCTGCTGAGGAACAGCAGCTGTACGTGAAACCTCGCCCCACCAGCCAGAAGAGCCACCACAGCTGTGAACAGCACCCACCAGAGGAGTTGCTGCCAACTGAAGAGCAGCTGCTACCGCAACCGCCCGAAGAGGAACCGCAGACCAAGGAGTCACTGCCACCAAGGGAGCAGCCACTGAACGACTCAACGTCTAGATATGTCAGTGAGATCAAACATGGGTAGACAAAGAAACCCCCAAAGGAAAGAGAAGGAGGACTCTCCAGAAAAGCAGCTAAGTAATACAGAGGCATGCAACATGACAGAAAAAGAATTCAGAATAAGGGTCCTAGAGTGCATAAACCGGATGGAGGAAAAAATCGACAACCTCAGCAAGAAGCAAGAAGAAACAGATGAAAAAATCGATAACATATGGAAGAAGCTAGAAGAAACAGATGAAAAAATCGATAACATATGGAAGAAGCTAGAAGAAACAGATGAAAAAATCAACAACTTAAGTAAGACCCAAGAAGATATGAAGAGCGATATAGCTGCAATGAAAAACTCCATTGAAAGTATCAACAGTAGACTAGGAGAAGCAGAGGACCGAATTAGTGATTTAGAAGACAAGGAAGCAAAACACACCCAAAATGTACTGCAATTGGAGAAAAAAATGAAAAGACAGGAGGAGAGCCTAAGGGAGCTTTGGGACAACATGAAACGAAACAACATACGAATAATAGGGGTACCAGAACAACAGAAGGATGAACAAGGATTAGAAAACCTATTAGAAGAAATAATATCAGAAAACTTCCCTGAGGTGGGGAAGAAAAAAGTCACACAAGCCCAGAGAGTCCCAAACAAGGTGAACCCAAAAAGACCCACACCAAGACACATCATAATTACCATGGCAAATGTTCAGGACAAAGAGAGAATCTTACAGGCTGCAAGAGAGAGACGGAAAGTTACATACAAGGGATCTCCCATTAGATTGTCAAATGATTTCTCAACAGAAACACATCAGGCCAGAAAAGAATGGACGGAAATTTACAAAGTGATGCAAAGCAAAGGACTGAATCCAAGAATACTCTATCCAGCAAGGCTATCATTCAAACTTGAAGGGGAAATAAGAAGCTTCACAGACAAAAAAAGGCTAAGGGAGTTTATCACCACCAAGCCAGCAATGCAAGGAATGCTAAAGGGACTGGTATAAAAATAAGAAATAAAAAGCTCAGAAAGAAAACAGCCACACAAAAACAGAAATGCCTACAAACAACTACCTTTCAATAATAACTTTAAACGTAAACGGACTAAATGCTCCAAACAAAAGACATCGAGTGGCTGAATGGAT